TGTTTTTTCCCCCTGCTTTGAAATTAACATTGAAATTCTTGCTAGAAGAATGATCATTCCAGTTTATCCAGACCTTGCTGAATCCTGATACTGACTTTTAAGATGTTTGCTATTCTATTCATCTTTGTGTCATCTGCAAATGTGATACAGGTAGGTGGTAAATAGTGCAAGTGTGAATTGTAATTTGATACCAGGCTGTGTATCAAATTACCCAAAACTTAATTAACTCGTAATTAGCATATGCACAATTGAGGCTAGTGCATGTGCAGTTAGTTGGAATTTTATATACTGTTAATCTTTGTATGTGCAAAATGGAGAAATGGTAGATTTCATCAGAGGAAAACAATGTAAAAGTGTAAGCTTTAAAAAGAAGAGGCCCAGTATTGCATTTGTGCAAAAATGCAAAAAAAGTGCAAAAAACATAAACATGTCATAGCAATGTTAAACTAGTACGAGATGTTAGAATATCTGAATTTTCTGCAAATTTTTTTTATGTTTTTATTTTGCTTTCTGTAACTGTGACTTTGTTAACCATAGATGTAAATTATAAATACATAGCTAGTCCTTGCTTACTGACCATTCATTCAATGACTGTTTATAACAGCACTGAACAAAAGGATCTACGACTGATCCCCAAAGTTATAGCCTCATAGTCATGTGATCAAAGCTTAAGTGCTTGGTAGCCCACCCACACTTACAACCATAAGGATGTTTCAACTCCCCCACTCATTTCCCCCTCCTTTTAATACTTGGCACTCCACAGCCCTTTTTCCTAGTTGTCCATATTTATAAAAGTCATTTATAAATATGTCGAACAGTATAGGAAGTAGAGTAAAACCTTGCAATATATTTCTCAACACTGTCCAGCTTGATGTGGAACTGACATTAATTGGGTATGATTGCTCACCCAAGCCCACATCCAATGGTAGCATAATTTAGTGCACATGTTGTCATTGTGTATATTAGAATCTCATGGGTAATATCATTGATTGTTGCTAAAGTTCAACTACACTATTCTTGTTGCATTCCCTTGATTAACTTGTATTCCCTTGGTAACAAGCTGGTCACTTTGTCACAGTGACTTATTCTTGATAAACTCATGGTAAAGTCATGCAATCATTTATAAATGCTCACAGAACCATGCTTAATCATCTCTTCCAGAGTGTTGTATGGCATTGATGTCAGACTGATGAGTCTATAGTCTGGGTTCTCTTTTTCTCCCTTTTTGAAGATAGAAATATTATTTGTTGTCCTCTAATCCTTGGGCACTATTTCTATCCTCCAAGACTGTTCAAAGAGAGGGACTTCCAAAGGGACTTCCAGAAGATTCTTCAAGCTCTCATATGTAATTGGTCTGGTCGTGCAAATGTGGTAGTTCGGAACACCGTTACTTAAGATGGGTTGCCTGTCCTTTTATCTTATCAGTTGCTCTGCTTAAAATGATGGTATTTGTCTTTGGCAGGAGAAAACTGAAACAAAATAGGAGTATCTCTTAATAGCAATTGCACTTATATACCGTTTCATAGTGCTTTACAGCAGGGCTTTTCAACCTTTTCACCCATTGTACCACTTTCAGGATATGGCAACATCCGAATACCACCAGTGGCCTAGCAAGGTGTCAAAAACTTGATGACCAAAAAAAAAAAAAAAAAAAAGGAAAAAAGTGATAAAGTACAGGTAGTCCTTGACTTACAACAGTTCGCTTAGTAACTGTTCGAAGTTACAATATCACTGAAAAAAGTGCCCCCCAAGCCACAGCCGAGCAAGACACCTGCCTGCCCGCCTGGTGGCGCTCTTCCTCCTGTCCAAGGTTTTCATTATTGTGAGCATTTCTGTTGAGGATTGGCAGCAGGGGTGGGGTGGGGGGTGTTTGGTTTTTATTCCCCCCCATCTGCTGGGTGGTTGCAGCAGGTGGTTGCAGCAGGTTTTGGTCACTTCACATGAACCCGGGACACTGTGACCGTCATAAATATGAATCAGTTGCCAAGCATTTGAATGTAAATCACAAGACCCTGGAGAGGCTGCAACATTCCAGCTGATCGGCGCTTCTTCTAGGCTCAGAAGCGCCAAGATCAGTGCTGCTTTCCAGTTGGAGCCTGGCGTTGATCCTGGTGCTTCTGCTGAGCCCTGACAGCCCTGCAGCTCCAGCCATCTCTCACTCAGGCTTGTGCGGTGCTGCCACCAGTTCAGCTCATTCCCCTCCCCCGCTACCACTTTTCTAGGATGGTGGCGTACCACCTGCCTGGTGCCAATGTACCACAGGTGGTACCCGTACCACTGGTTGAAAAGCCCTGCTTTACAGCACTGAGTGATTTACAAATGTCAGCCTATTGCCCCCAACAATCTGGGTCCTTATTTTGCTAACCTTGGAAGGATGGAAGGCTGTGTCAAGCTTGAGCCGGTGAGGATTGAACTCCTGGCTGTGGACAGGCTTAGCCTGCAATACTGCATTCTAACCACTGCGCCACCAGGGCTCCTATATTGAATGTGTTCGCTATCTGGATTATATATTTATTAAAATAATAACTTTGGGGTATAAATAAATATTAAAGAACTTGTTATAATACATATATCCATTGCTTCTTTCCTGTCTTCAGGTGCTTTGGAGAATAGCCTGCCTCCCTCCTCTTTGCGGCAACCCCTGATATTGGAACAGTGCTATCATGTCACCCCTGGTCCTTTTTTTCATTAAACTAGACATACCCAATTCCAGAAACCATTCCTTATATGTTTTAGCCTCCAATCCCCTGATCATCTTTATTGCTAGACTCACAACATCTTTTTTACATTGTGGTGACCAAAACTGGATGCAGTATTCCAAATGTGGCCTTACCAAGTCATTACAAAGTGATATTAACATTTCATATGATCTTGATCCTATCCCTTTGTTAATGCAGCCTAGAACTGTGTTGACTTTTTTTGGTAGCTGCTGGCTCATATTTAACTAAGCGTCCATTACAACTCCAAGAAAGACATGAAAGAAAGATGGAAAAGGAAAGAAAGACGTAAAAGGAGCCAAGAGCATCCTCCCAAACTGGCTCCACATACAGAAGGGCCACCATGTTTTAAAGAACTATACAATGTTAAAAAGAATATGAGCAATCAGTAGCAAAAATCACTAAAATATGGCTGCTCCCAATTAATTCAGGTACTACAAAGATAGCCATATTCTCAATCTCCCCTGCTTTTGTTATTTTATTTATTTAATTACTGGCTTAGTCATCAACTCAGAGCAGCTGGCTTCCATATGCAAACGTGACTAAAACAATAATCCATAAACTATAGGTAATAAAATAGTCTTATGCCTTTTGTAAAAAATTCTGGGCTAGAGTGACCAAATTTGCAGAGCACTAATTCATGGCTAATTGAAACTCTATTTATTGAATTAATGAAATTTCCTGATTTCATAAAATGCAGAGCTATAACTAGCTAACTGTATTTTAGATTATGCAAGCTCAGCCATTATGCAAATCAGGCTATGTGTTGTTCAACAAAACACAGCTTTACAATATCCAAAGTATGTTTGTTCTCTGCTGAATAGCTTATTCATTACCGAGAACAATAAAGTGTGTTAAAACTAGAGGTTGGATAGGAAGAATTTCAAGAAAATCTGTCTTTAGTCCTTTATTGCTCTTTTGTGCCTTTTCCAATTTATCTATAAACTAGAGTATTTCTTCCAAACAACTTTCCCCTTTACTTTTAAATCCATACAATCTTTCAGCTTCCTCCCCCCCATATGATTATTGTTCTAGAGAAGAATAAAGAAGTTAAGGATTCTGTCTAAATGCATTCTTAACTCCTAAACCAGGTTTTGCCCTTTTGGCCTTATTCTCAGCAGTATCTAGCCAATTTATCTGAATTTAGAAGCTGAAGGTCAGGCCTCATTAATCCTTGGATAAGAAACCACCCAGGAATTCCAGGCCTGAACTGAAAAATATAAAGATAACCAGGAAGAAGGCAATAGCAAGCTGCATTGTTGCAAAAAAAAAGTAATATTTCTTTGCATATTTCCTTTTTTCTGCTCTTAGTCAATCCCCCTTGATTTTGTTTTAAGTAATAAATCTGGAAGAGTTCTGGGAGTGGTCCTTGGTGCTCTTTGAGCTCACTTGTTTTCTTGCAGACGTTTTATTACCCTAACTAGGTAACATCATCAGTGCTAGTAAGGAGTGCTGTTTGCTGTCGGTTTATATTCTGGTGTCTTGCCTGTCTGGGTCGGTGAGGGCGGTCTTAGGGATTCTTTGGTCGGGCTGTTTACTAATGGCTCTTTGGCAATTTCTTGATTGAAGGTCTGAAGGTGATGTTGGAGTTAATTTATGCTGATTAGAGTTCTGGAAATTGTATTTCTCCTGAAGAAAAATAAAAACAAAGAAATCCCTGTAATACACAGACCATACTATGTATTAATGGATCTGGATCATTATCATCTGAATGGAATTTAGATTTTCTCTTGCAACAGAGTAACAGAATGGAGCATTTTTGAGCCCATCATCTAGCTCTGAGGTCTGCATCACAAAGGAACAAATGTGCTCTGGGCCATCTCTTCCCAACACACATTCTCTTTTTAAAATTATTTCTTTCCAGAAATGGCAGAATCCCATTTCCACTTCTGGCTTCAAATGGAATCTAGGAACAATGTACTGGAGAAAAAATGGCAAAAATGGGTCTTTACTACCAGTTAGGATTGCAGGCTAATGCAAGCAAAGTTAAAGGCATTTAAAACACACACATTTATATAGAAAAAGTATCTAATGGGTTCCATATCGTTAATTCCTGGAGAGACCACAGACCTTTTAAATGACCTTAAATCTACAGACTGACTTTTCAAAAGGTTTTAACTCACATATGGAAACCAATATGCAAATAAAAGAAATTGTCTATCTTATTTTCATTGACAAATTTCATGGATTTTTTTCACTAATCAATCTGTTTCCTCACCTCCCAGTTTTAGATTTCCTCTTACTATTTCTTTATTATACCAAATAACATTCAGACAAAGTTTGTTTTTTTTAAGGTGGCTTTTATTATTTCCTTCTAACTGTTATTTCAATTTCCCATAGCACCTTGGCAATGTCAAAAACAAATACAAATACATGTATAATCTTAACAATTAAGCATGAACCTACTTTACACAATTTCTTGGATTAGACAGCTTTGACAACAGGAATAAACCAAACTGATAATAGATAAGCCAAATAATTGAGATATATATGAAGCTATCACTCTGATAAGTGAGACTAGATGTGTCACAGAAGTCAAAATTTTGGGGGGAACGATATAGCTAATTAGTTTGTTTTATTAAAACAGAAGCCACTTGCACACCAACACTTATATTTGAAATTTCTTTGAGGGAAATTTTATCCATAACTGATTTTTTTTAAAAAAAGTCATTAAATAAAAGTGTTGAAGTTGTTAACAGGTTAGTTCAGAGGCTGATTAATTCCTATACTAAATCTTAAGTCTACATTAATACACTCATTCCCATCTCTTCAAGAGTCCAGGGCTGAAGATGCAAATAACCTTCATCCAAAGAACAACAACAACAAAAAAAAAAATATCCGGGGGAGGGGGGAATCAGAGGTACCATCCTAAAGAAAGCCAACACTATATAATAGATTATCTCTCACATACACACAAGAGCATGATAGATCATTACAACTGATGGTGATCTTATGTTTCAGAAGAAAATATCAAAAGTTAAAAGAAAAACCTATTGCATATTTCTTGTAATCAATAGTTTACAAAAGTTTAAGCAATCCCCACCCCGAAGTGCATTTCTGTTGCATTTTATCAGTATACAATGTTGCATTTTATAAATTTAAAATAATCTGTACACATGTAGCAGGAATTTTTACCGAAGTGAATGTTCACTCAATGACAATAAAAATAGTGGATATATTCAGACATTTAGCTGATACTGACGAAGTAATAAGGCCATAGCTATTTAAATTATAGTAAAGCATTGCTTAAGTCACTTAATTGCTACTGATTTTCCCATATCTTCAGGTCAATAAGATTTCAATTTTAATCTGTTAAAAGAGCATCACAACTTCCCAAGCTATTTTGGAAAAAAAAAGAAGAGATAACAAATAGAAATACAAATTTCACACATAGAGAATCTTCTTTTCCCTTTTAGAGAAGTACAATACCTTGGCTCAGAATTATTGACTAAAACTAAAGAATGTGTAAAAACTCAAAATTTCCTGCTAATGAAGATCTCCTTTCATAAGTTCAGGAAACAAAGGTCATTGTGATCTTTATCATCTTGCATATTATTATATTTCATCAAAAGTTTAAGGGTAAAAGGCATGTACGTCCAATTATGACTTATTAAAAGGGAAATACAACTGTTCTCTTAGTTTATAGTTTTGGCATTGATGCTCTATGAAATGAAATATCAGCTACATCTCTGTTGCTCCAATATTTACAATGAAAATGCTCTTTTTATTACATTTACCAACATAAATCATACCGGCAATGTCATTTACATTCAACCATTGCTGAGACAGAAGATAATGATTTACAAGTTGGTCAATATATCAACTCAGTTTTAACGATGATTTGCTCATTTACATTTAATGCACAGCTATGCAGAAAACAAACACTACCAATATTGCACATCCTTACAGCAAGATAGTAAAATTGCCCTGACATTGAATCTAAAAACCTATTGTGTCTCATTTCTAAAGTAATATGGGAAGACTGATGAAAATCCAATACACTTTTTGAGAATGAAGAATAATGATTAGCCCAGATACCTTTGTCACTCAAATGTAATTGCAAGTTAACAGCACATAGCATATGGTTCTTCTTTTTTTTTTTTTTTACTTCATCATTCTATCTAACTTTACAGATTTAGGTATTTATTGTAACAAAATACAAAGGGATATTGGATGAGAATGGAGTAGATGTTAACTGAGGAAACGCTTATCAAACACTTCAGTTTTAGAAATCCCTCCAAGGTATTAATCTGACATTGGAAAAGCTGCTTTTACACACTTTACACATACATTGCACAAGAGCCACTTGTGTGGGGAAAGCACACATGCACAGATATAAGCTTCAGGATGTACAACACATCCTTTCCCTCAATCAATTTTTTCCCTCACAAGAAAATGTCTGTGAGCTATATTTGCTTCAATATCCAGTAACGAAAAGAGTTACATTTTGTTGATCTGTCTTTGAATACTAGATTCCATTCCAAACAGAGTTAGATTTCACATCCTTGCATTGCCAAGTAACTTTTAAAGTAGCATCTTCCCACAGAATTGCATTCTTCTTGAAGAGGAAGCATTTTTAAATAATTCCTAGCAACTGTTAATTCAAATCCATCTTTAGTTTGCAATGACACAGTGCTTTATCTATCCTAAAAATAACCACAGTATAGCAGTTCAACCTTTTTTCCATTTCAAGTGCAATAATCAGAATTATGGGTCTTTTAAAATGAAGTATTTATACATTTTTCAGAATTCCTAACATTTTAAGTACTTCACCTTTTGTGTCATATCCAGCAAAAATAGCATTATGAGTAAACCAAAGTGGGTTTGTACTTAAGAGACGTGATCAATTATTTGCTTTAATGTAAAAACTGCCAAGGCCAGCAGTTACTTCAAAATGAGAAATGATTAATAACATGCACAGAAAAAGAATATCAACTGCCTAAGTACATTTATATTTCTCAATCTAATAAAAAAAGTGATTGCCAAGCTGAATAAGTTAGAGAAATGACAAATCTGAATATATATATATATATATATATATATATATATATATATATATATATATGAATGATATGCGTGTTCTCAAAGCCATTGATAGAGAATGCCTACAGAATAAGAAACTGCTGAAACTTTTCTGGCTAAGACAAATCAGAAGATTACCATTTTCACAGTTAATTATTTATCTGCCACTGACATTTTAAAATTATCACTAACATACACAATCTAAAAATGCATGGTGGTATCTCACAACTGAGTTTTCCAGTGTTTACAACTAATGTCTTTAAATTTGTATATTTTGCTACCAACTAAAGAATCCAATATACTTTCCCCTAATACTTTAATACAGAACTTTGAACTCTAGCATGCTGATTTTGCAAGATTAGCCTGTTGTAATTGTCCTAGTTCTTTTCTTAAGTTCTATAATTATCAGCTTGTAAACCACACTGCTTGTTGCACAAGGTTATTCTAATTAACATAAATCTATCCTAATATTCTTGCCAATATTCTCCAAAGTAAGTTAATTTTCACTTATCAGCTCCATCAAACAAGGAAACTTATGAATCCTTGTTTTTAGTCTCTCCATTAAATAAAACCTGATTTCTGGTATAGTTTGAAATTCCTCCAAGTAGAAAAAGTGTTTTCAGTATATCAAAGAATGGCCCCAGCGAGGCCCCTCTATTTGTTAAAGTGAAGTCAGACCCCCAAACTTGTCTTGCCTCTTTCTAGAGTACGGGTGTCAAACTGGATCGCATCACATGACGTATTGTGATGGTTTTTTGCTTTTGCGGAGCCGGGGTGGGTGTGGCCTGCGCATCCGACCCGCAAGCCGACAGTTTGACACCCCTGTTCCAGAGAATTGAGAATATTAAAGAGCTGAAAATCTCAATTCAATGCACCAATGTAATGTTTATTATGCAATTTCACATTCCCTATTTTTAGTTCTGCATTAGTGTCAGAATAACTACATTCCAGCTAGATGTGCTTAATTCTGTAATAAAGGATAAGAAAAAATATTGAAGCAGAGGAAAAAATAAAACAATGCTATCCCTAATTAGAAAAAATACTGGAACAAATTAAAATCTTGCCCACTATTTCTTGTTTACTAATCTTGCTGTTTGCATACTCCAGAATAAAATCATAGTTTTATAAGCTGACCAAAATTAGTTAAGTCAAAGACTATTATTTCCAAAACACAAAATTCTACAGTAGTACAATCAATTATTATCAGTGACAAAATCATGACATAACAGGTAATATGGCTACACTCATTCATACTGACCAAGCATGTTAGTTTTGGGGCTAAATTGTAATGCAAGGCCATTAATGGCATACATGTCATCTTACAAGCCATACCTTAAATAGATTTTTAGAAGTAATTTATAACTTTTACAGTTTTTTCCAAAAAAAATATTTGCCCCCTCTTCAAGTAAGAAACATGCTAATATGTGTATTTGTTCCTCATCTTTAATAAGCTAGTTCTTAATGCAAAAATCTAATTCAAACAGGAAATTAAAAACAGAAAGTTACAAAAATTATAATCTTTATCATATTTATATTGATTCTATTTCTCCAGCATTTTGTATCACTTCGAGATGAATATTGGGATCCCTTTAAGCTCTCTCACATTGCAAACCCTGTGCTCTTGAATTTATTGTCCACTTTCCCTATATTTATATTTCTCTTGAGCTGGCCAGTTTCTCCTCTACTGCTCTTTAGTTCACAGTTCTGATTAAATAAAAAGTTTGATCAATTTTCCTTTGGTGATCGCGGTGGCATATACTGTTCCTTGCCAACTCGCCGAGGCGCTCCCTGAGGAGAAGACCTACGTCCACACTGGCGCCTCTGTTCCCTGATTTTTCCTGCAGCTCCTTTGGGAGGCCCATTGCCTCTGAAAACAGCCAAGTCATTCATCCGTCCTTCAGACTTTTCATGTGCCTTCTCTCCAGCCTTCTCATGGGTGCCATTTTCTTCTGTTTTGGCAGGAGAGGTTACATTAGAGCGCAGCTCCCTAAGTGGCTGAGCAGGAAGAGACGGTACTTCTTTTGGAGGTTTCTGACAGACCTCAGCATAACTGAGCTTCCGGGGTTCCTTACCGAAAGAAAAAGGCTTTAGTATGCCTCTAATATAACAAAATGCTAGTGACAATTTAAAATTAAAGCTATATTTAGCAATTGTATATACAGGTAGTCCTTAATCTACAACTAGTTGCTTACCAACTGTTTGAAGTTATGACGGATCCTGAAAAAGCTACTTACAACCTAATTTTGAAGTTATAGTTCCCGCAGCAACCCTGCAGTCATGTGAACAACATTCAGGCAGATTCACTGTGACCGACCATAGGAACTATAGCCCAATCTCCCTCCTCATCCTGCCATGCTTGCTTCCTCAACCTGACCCCCACACCCTCCTCCCCAGCCCCATCACCTGGTCCTTTACCTTTTAGTGTAGATCTTCTGCAAGAATCCTTGCTACAGGATGGAGTACCGTGAGATAGGAAAGTAGGCCGAGGGCCTGAAGGCACCTCGAGGGATGGGCAGAGGAGCACAGGACCTTGAAAAGCTTAGGGCAGGCAGGTCTAGGATAGGCTTTTGCTTTGCCCACCCCTAAGGCTCCCTGTTTTCCACTTAATGATTGTATTTGGGAGAGATGGGATGGTGATCATTAAGCAAGGAAAGCACATAGACACCTTGCTTAACAACCGTCAGGACTTGCAGGTGTAATAGGCAGACTCGATGATTACAGTCATAGGTCAAGGACTACCTGTATTTGTTCTTCTCCACTTTCATCCAAATGAGTCTGATGTTTTTATTTTAAGATTTTTTTAAGGTTAAATTGTGTACTTCTATTATATCTGGAAGGTAGTTTACTAAAACTATCCAAAAATGACTGAAAGCAGTACCTTACCTGTATCATTACAACAGGCATTGTGTTTGCATTGGTTGTGGATGAAGTGGTATTTGTCCTTGGTGATTTTACAGTACTGGGGGGGCATACAGATGAAGGTGGAGAAGTCTGACTTGCAGCCTCCTTGTGCACATGAACCTCTTCTAGTTTCTTCTCTTGCTGAGTGGCACTAGAAAATCCATTAACAGAATTGTGTGACTTCTTGCAGATTCAAAACTTTTTTTAAAAAAAAATCATAAATGAATTGTTTTGAAGCACAGAGACATTTTCTAACAGGTTAATTTTCTGTTTTGGAAATAATTGTTTAGATACATAACATTTTCAAACAGATTAATTTTCCGCTTTGGAAATAAAAGCAACTATGACTTCTCTTGTTCATGTTTTCAATGTTGGTTGATTAAGACAGCTACCTTAATCAACATTTTTCAAAAGGAACCAAACTTGTATAGTATTTTACGCTTGGGGTTTATGTTAGGAGAAAAAAAACTGTTACCAATTTTGCTGGTTTTAGAACTAAAACATACAAAAATGTATTTGTGCTTCTCTTGCCATATAAAATAATTGGTAATACTTGTAATTGGAAGATCAATCTCCATACCTTAATCCAGGAAGATCAATCCCATAGGGAGAACTGGCATTCGTGACAGACTGAACAACACTTTGGCCCTGCTCTTCCTGAGTGGATGTTAGACAACTAACTGTCAAATCTTTGTTTTCCTAAATAGAGCAAAAGGGGGAAAAAGAATATCTGTAAAAGTACAAGTTAAGACTAAACCTGTGTGAATTATTATTACAGAAAAGAAAAATTAGATATCATATAGGCTAAAAACTACCTCACAGCATTGAGATCAAGGATAGACAACTTATTGATTGCCAGAATAGCAAGGATCAAAGTGGGCAGTGCAATAACAAAAAGAGGAATAAATCACAAATATGAACAAGGCTCAATCCAAAAACGTTAAAAAAGGGCAAGGGGTTCCATCAACCCTATCATAAGGCCTAGCGCAGCTTCATCTAAGATTGAAGATAGAAAGCAATGGGATTGGGGGAATGAGCTGCTGTTGATTGATTCAATAGTAACAATTCCCACCTCCCCCCCTTCTGCACCTGCCGGCCCTCTCCAAGTGTTTTTGGTTTAAATGTTTGTTTTTAACTTTTCATGTTTTAAGAGTTTATATAACTGTAAGCCGCCAAAAGTTACCCTACGGTAAGATGAGTGGCCATAAATTAGATAGACAGACAGACAGGCAGGTCTCTAATATTCATAGCCACTCAGTCTTGGTAAGCTGTATCAGAGTTGGTTTCCTCCTATTCAGACCAACACAGCTTCCAGCACTAGGACAGAATCTGCAAAAATGGAGCCTGTTCTTGTGGTGTTCGAAAGCCTCATCTCCAACCTTCCCATGTTTTGAAGAAAGGCTTCTGAAGCACAAGAGGAATGGTGTCCACTTAGAGAATGATACAAGGTGGCCTTGATAAGAAGGCAGCAGTGTTGCAGTCTCCTGCAGCCACAAGATAGTCATTTGCAAGCTTCACAGCCAACCTCTCACAAGCCAAGTCAATGAGAAAGCCAGGAGTTGGCAAGTCACGCTCATATCTTGTTATGTTCAACACTGGCAGGTAATTTACTTAAGAAATGCATCAGAACAGAAAAGTTTGTGTGCAGTTATGAGATGTTTTCATTTAAACCATGTCACTTAGCAACAAAATTGCAGATCCAAATTGAAATCATTACTATTATTTGTTATTGGGTAGTAGTAGTGTGTGGCTGAAGAAGTGTAAGCCATGTTTTTCAACAATTTTTGTTGGCTGTGAAAAGAGCACCTTGGAATAAAATTTCTTTTTCCTACACTGTACTGATGGCAAGCCCAGAATGTACTAAGGCTTTGATTTCTTGAATTTTACAGTATATATTTATATATAATCTAAGCAAAAAGCAACTTTTGCAAAAGCTATCAGCTTTGCTTTTGTTGCTATGGGGTTTTTATTCATTATATCCACATAATCAGTGTATATAGGAATAGAAATAAAATAAAATGTATTGCTTGAGTTCAAGCAAATGTAGTAGGGATGAATTAAGCATGTTTAACATTGCCAAATAATATAAAGATAAAACAATAACGACATGCAAGATTAAAATTGAGAGAGAGAGAGAGAATATGAAAAAAAAATACAAGGACATACCTTTTCTTTGCTTATTCCTTTAACTATATCTGACATCCTATTCTCCAGAACAGGATCTCCTTGTGTTTTAATCATGCTGCCCGGCAACGGAGGGAAGTTTGAGGCTAGCAAGTCAAACTTTGGCGTCAAAGTCTTGGTTTCAACTGAAGCCTGAGGGCGCTAAAAAAGAGAAGTAGCATATCTATTATTCTCATTCATTTTGTCTGCAAAAATCGGAGAATGCCATTAGCCATTTGTATCCAATTCCAATATTAGGGAGCAATTTAGCATTGGCAATTCTGGAATGGATGAAGATTCAAAAACTGAGTGACTCTAGAAGATTATTTGCTATAGCTCTAGATGAGATTGTGTTTCCCAGAAACAGCTGTTATTCCAATAGGGTATGCACGCCTCTTAATGGAGCAAGTCAAAGCTGCGGTCAGGAAGGCCTTTGCCCAGTTTTGGTGATGCACAGATGCCAACTTTAGAAGAGACAGTGCTGATTAGTCACTCATGGCCTTGGTACTTAAAACTGGATTACTGTAATGCAGTCTACATCGGGCTGTTCTTAAAGGCCACCTAGATTAGAATCTACAATTAGTACAAAATGAAACCACTCTCATATTTACCAGGACAACTCAATATTGACGCATAACACAAATATTCCAACTGCACCCTTTGCCAGTTTGTTTCCAGCTGAGTATAATTTAAGGTGCCGATGATCACCTCTGAAGTCCTACATAGCTTGAGACCTGGCTTTCTTTGAGGTCTCCTTGTGATGGCAGCTCCAGCTAGATTGGAGGGAGGTGGTATGATCATCACAGCATTCCTGCGGTCACATGATCAACATTCAGGTGCTTGGCAACCAGTATTTATGATAGTTGCAACATCCCGGAGTCATATGATTACCATTTGTGACCTACCCAGGGTTTGCTAACAAGCAAAAACAATGGGGAAGCCGGATTTGCTTAATGATCATGGGAAAAAAGGTGGTTACATTTAGTGCAACTCACTTAATGATTGCATCGCTTAGTGATGGAAGTTCCAGTTTCAATTGTGGTTGTAAGTCAAGGACTACATGTATACATGATTCTTACTTCAAGATTACAATCCTAAGGAACCTCTTGTATATTACTTGAACTGAATTATACCAAATTGAGTTCCAATGAAGCTTCTCCCGTGTCTTCCCATTTTATATCTTCTTTAGTTTCTTTATCATCAATATAACAGGTTATATTCCATTGTGCCGTAAAGCATTATGAAGCAGTATAAAAGTCTAAGTGCTATTATTACTAATGTGCCAAATTTATCATTCCAATGACAAATATTCTTTTTTCTTGGCAGATTCTTTTTTCTTTTATTCTCCTAGAGCAGAGCTTTTCAACCGGTGGTACGCCACTGTCCAGGACTCCCCTGCGCAGCCTAGGAGGGACAGTGAGGTTCCTCTGATGGACCATGCCTTGGCACCTACCCCAGTCCCACCCCCCTCCACTAGAGATCCAAGGATCCCTCCTATAGCCCCCCCCACCTCCCACAGCCCTGCAACCTATGCGATGTTGAGCTGGCCATGCCCCCCCCCAGCCATTGACTTCACTTGTCAAAAAGTTGCAAAAGGGGATCACATGACCCTGGAACACTGTGACCATAAGTATAAATCAGTTGCCAAGCATCTGAAGGCAAATCACATGACCCTGGGGATGCTACAACAGTCATAAGTGTGAAAAATGGTCATAAGTCACTTTTTTCAATGCCGTTGTAACTTCGAACAGTCACTAAGAGAACTGTTGTAAGTCAAGGACTACCTGTACTTTATCACTTCCCTCCCCCCCTTTTTTTGATCATCAAGTTTTTAATACCTTGCTAGGTGACTGTTAGTACATGAATACTGCCATATCCTAAAAGTGGTACAATCTGTGAAAAGGCTGAAAAACTGTCCTAGAGAATGTGTCAATTCAGGTGTTCTGATCTGTTCAGAGTCCTACCAAACCATTTCCTCTTCCAGAATACCTGGTTCTAGGAAACTGTCATATCATCTACAGCAGGGCTTTTGAACCAGTGGTACGGGTACCACATGTGGTACATTGGCACCTGGCAGGTAGTACGCGACCAACCTAGAAAAGTGGTAGCGGGGGAGGGGAATGAACTGAACCGGTGGTAGCATCGCACAAGCCTAAGTGACAGACACTGGAGCTGCAAGGCTGTCAGGGCTCAGCGGAAGTGCCAAGATCAGTGTCACTTTCCAGCTGATTGGCGCTTCTTCAGGCTCTCAGGGTTCAGAGGAAGCGCCAGGATCAGCACCAGGCTCCAGCTGGAAAGCAGCACTGATCCTGGCGCTTCTGCTGAGCCCAGAAGAAGCGCCGATCAGATGGAATGTTGCAGCCTCTCCAGGATCTTGTGATTTACATTCAGATGCTTGGCAACTGATTTATATTTATGACGGTCAGTGTCCCAGGGTCATGTGAAGTGACCAAAACCTGCTGCAAATACCCAGCGGACAGGGGGAATAAAAACCAAACAACCCCCACCCCACCCCCGCTGCCAATCCTTAACAGAAATGTTCACAACAATTAAAACCTTGGACAGGAGGAAGGGCGCCGCCAGGTGGGCAGGCAGGTGTCTTGCTTGGCTGTGGCTTGGGGGGCACTTTTTTCAGTGCCATTGTAACTTCAAACAGTCACTAAGAAAACTGTTGTAAGTCGAGGACTACCTGTACTTTATCACTTTTTTCCCTTTTTGGGGGGGGTCATCAAATTTTTGACACCTTGCTAGGCGACTGGTGGTACTCGGATATTGCCTTATCTTAAAAGTGGTACAATGAGTGAAAAGGTTGAAAAGCCCTGATCTACAGAACTGCTACAGAATTGCATTCAAGGGGGAAAAAAACGTTTTCTGGGACACTGAAACATTGAATCTCTAAACCAGTGTTTCCCAAACTTGACAATTTTAAGGCATGTGGACTTCAACTCCCAGAATTCCACAGCCAGCAATGCTGTGGAATTCTGGGAGTTGAAGTCCTCATGCCTTAAAATTGTCAAGTTTGGGAAACACTGCTCTAAACTCATGAGTTTGAATACTTCTAATAGGGAACAGGCCTCAACGTTACACTTTTTGATTCACAATGGACAATTCTGTGGAACTCAACCTGAAATACTACTGCTTATCTTTGCCTAAAAAGTTGACACTGACATATTAACCTGTTTGAAACATATGCTGGAGAGGCTTTAATAGTACAGGAACAATCAGATGCATGTAGCTCGTGAATCCAGAAATACATATTTTGGAAGTAAGTTCAAACTCCCAGATTCTACGACCCCAAAGCAACTTATTTTGCCTGGCTATAACTCTTCTTACAATTACATAAAGCCTCAGTTCTTTTGATGAGAGCTTAGGTAGAAATTGCTGGTGCTTAGAAACTGATTCTAGACCACGGGTCACCAACTTGTGGTCTGCGGCCCACTAACTGGCCATGGGCTGTTGGCCCTTGGGCCACGTGAGTGGCTGGCCAGCACACGTGTGTGTGCGCTCGCATCCTCCCATTCGCACTAGAGTCACAATGTTGCATGGGGCGGCTAGCAATGCCGTGAGCGTCAGGCGGGAGCTAGCGTTGCCATAAGTGCACTCCCCACACATGCTAGTGTCGTGCAGTCTTGCAGGCGCTTGCAATGCCATAAGCATCTTGCAGGCACTAGTGTCACTATGAGGCACCCCACTTGCACTATTGTCGTGGCATGTCGGTACTATTGTGGCTGCAAGTGCAACATCCCTACTTGCGCTAGCATTGCATTACACAGGCGCTAGCGTTACCCGAACATCACCCAGGCGCTTGTGGCCCTATTTGCATCGCGCATGCAATCACAGCCTCGTTTGTGCACATGCGACTCCTTTTGCGTGTGCATGTGCTCACACATGTAAAATCGCCTCCACCACCCCCACCCCGGGCCAACCCAGAAAGATTGGGGACCCTTGTTCTAGACTATCACTGGTTTATTTATTATTTATTAAATTCATATGCTGTCCATCGAGCGACTCAGGTCTGTTAAGTGTGGTATTATGGTTATATCTGCATTACGGAATACAGGTAATTCTTGACTTATAACCTTAATTGAGCATGCAATTAGGGTTATAAGCTGCTGTTAAGCAAACATGGTCAGTAAAATAATCTGGTTTACCGAATGGAGTTTTTTTGGTGGAAATCACAAGTAAAACAATGGAAGCTGCAAAAACCATAAAAAACTGTGATTGCATGACCTAGGGATGCTGAAAATGATTGTAAAGATGAAGTGGTTCCCAAGTGCTCAAAATACAATGATGTGGCCACAGGGTGTGTGTGCTGTCTGTGTGTACATGCAGATATGGTAACTTCAAAATAAGGTCATAAGAACCTGGCGGGGGTTCCATCATAACTTCAAACACATATAAGATGGATTTCATTGCTTGAGTGATAATGAAGGGCTTTTCAATCTTTTCACCCACTGTACCACTTTTAAGATATGGCAATATCCGAGTACCACCAGTCGCCTAACAAGGTGTCAAAAACTTGATGACCCCCCCAAAAAGGAAAAAAAAGTGATAAAGTACAGGTAGTCCTCAACTTACAACAGCTCGCTTAGTGACTGTTCGAAGTTACAATGGCACTGAAAAAAGTGCCCCCCAAGCCACAGCCGAACAAGACAGCTGCCTGCCCACCCGGCGACACCCTTCCTCCTGTCCAAGGTTTTCATTGTTGTAAATGTTTCTGTTGAGGATTGGCAGCGGAGGGGGAGTTGGTTTTTATTCCCCCCGTCTGCTGGATATTTGCAGCAGGTTTTGATCACTTCACATGACCAATGTCTCTCACTTAGGCTTGTGCGCTGCTACCACCGGTTCAGCTCATTCCCCTCCCCCACTACCACTTTACTAGGATGGTCGCGTACCACCTGCCAGGTGCCAATGTACCACATGTGGTACCCATACCACTGGTTGAAAAGTCCTGTGATAATGCTTCTGCAGCCATATAAATGAACATTTAACAAACAGGAAAAAAAATAAGATATGTGATACTTCTGAAAGTTAGTTTCATTTCCTGAATATTTATTGTAGTCCAGTTTATAGTGCAAAATCTTTTACACTGTAATGCATTTTTTAAAATTCACATACAATTCTCACGTTAGCATGGTCTTCTAGCACCAAAAGACCACACTAACATTCTCAATAGCTGGTGACTGACATGCCTGCAGTAAAAGTGAACACTTACTGATAGCCTTTCATCATCCCGTCTCCTCCGACCTCTGAAAATGTTTCTTCTGCAAGTTAGCAAAGAAAAGCTTCTGTGAGTATGTTTTATGTTTATTATGTCATATGCATTAATGACATTAATGACATAATCATACGAAGACCTTACCTGCCTCTTCCCATGCCATAATCACCATTTTGTTCTACATGAGTAATTTGAGACTCCTTCTGTGTGTAGCTGGGCTCTTGATGTCCTGATAGTGTACTTGCTTGTCGCTCTGGCTGAAAATTTCGTAAAGTGGTTCTATGCAAGTGTCCATCACCTAGTGAAACAGCACTGAGTGTGGCGGGTCCTTCTGATGAGCGTTCTGAACTATTTGACAACCGGAAATGAGCCTTCACACTGGATTGACACATAAAAAAAGTGAATATATAAATTCTTGCCACAACACACATCAATTTCCCTAAAGACCTCAGAGGAAGTTGATGTTCTAAGAACCAAGGAAATGTGGCAACACTTTTTTGCTGATTGTTAACTACATACCGGTAGATCTGTTTGTCAAGAACTGGCAAGCACATTTCTCCAAATCAATTCCTAAATGGTATTATCCAACCACAACTCTTCCCTAGTTAATTTATAAATGTATTACTAACTTAATACTAACACAGATAGAAAGATAGATATCAATAAAACCAGTATCATATGAATAGACAAGAATCATAAAATACAGATGAGTTTTCAGTAAAAACAGAACAATATTCAGTAAATCTAACAATTTCCAAAAATGCTTCCCGTCAAAAAAATTCTTTCTTGCACCTAAGTAATGCACTTTAAGTTACAACTCTTCAACCAAGTAAAACAAGACTGTATATGGATGGCAAGTGTATTGCTATGGATGTTAAAGAGATTACACAGAGCGTATACTTAGGAGGAGAAAGACATGACCATACAGGTATGCAATATCACATTTTCATATTACATAAAGTCTCTCCCCTTTGGCTTACAATCTTGTCCAGTCCTTTCTTAAATTCAAATAAATATTCTCACATTTATTTCATTTTCATTTTCTTTTCTTCTTCTAGTTAGAGTTGAATTTAAGGAATAATAATCAAATGGTTCCTTTTTTCATATATGGAGGTTGGACAGCCATCTAAATTTTAGACAACCAAGGATCTGTATTTACCTTCCCACTATCCCTATTTGGTGGTATAATAATATGAAACTTACTGTTGATTGATACCAACAGGTAGTCCTCGACTTACAACCATTCGTTTAGTGACCGTTTGAAGTTACTACAGCACTGACAAAATGTTATACATTTTTCACATGACCATTGTAGCATTCCCATGGTCACGTGATAAAAATATGGGCGTTTGGCAATTGGCACATATTTATGACATTTGCAGTGTCCTGAGGTTATGCGATCACCTATTGCAAACTTCTCACAAGCAATGTGAATGGGAAAACCAGATTCACATAACAGTGTTACTAACTTAATAACCACAGTGATTCATTTAACAACTGTGGCAAGGAAGTTTGTAAAATGAGGCAAAACTTACTCAACGCATATCTCATTAGCAACAGAAATTTTGGGCTCAACTGTGCTCGTAAGTTGAGGACTTTGTATACATAGGATAAAACAAAACAAATCTATTTCTTCCTCCTTAGTAAGATCCAATGCAGAGTTCCAATCCTTTATCAAGGATTCTTAAGCAGATCTGAAATAGCACATCACTGCACTAAAAAAAAAAAAAGAAAGAAAGAAAGGAAGAAAACTCTGCCAAGCTGTCAAGGGCAGACTTTTTTAAAATGTGCTTTGACCTTATAATATTGCAGGAATATTTGTCTCCCCAAAGTTTAACATACCTATTTGGCACATTCTGGGATTCCCTCCTGCCCCAATCCACCAAACTCTTGGTCCAAAACAAGCAATTCTATGATTAAATTTCAATGATATACATGGTAGGGAACTGTCAAGCTTATGTATTGCAATTTCAAACTGAAAAATGTGAGCACAGGTTTCTAACTGCTTTACTGAAGTTCTTTTACAACTCAAAGACAGTTTGTAAAAGAACTGATGTTATTTTCTTTCTGCCACCACTCATTTATCTATTCATTCTGTTTCTGCATCATCCTGTCTCAATGATACCACAATTTTGTTAAACTGTTAAGGTTACAAAATAATGCAACAAATAATTAGCATGGCTGTGAAAATTTACTTCTTGGGGAAAATAAGAAAACAAATTCTATAAGCAATTACCAAATGAAGAATTTTCAGTTTGAGAAAAAATGTTTCAAAAATATTTTCTTAAAATGACCTGTTGTCAGAACATGTTTAAAAAGAAAAGAATGATTTGGGTATCATAACTACCATAATGAAATTAACTAAAAAGAAATGAAGTTAGTTTTAGATTAAAACAAATGTAGACCAAAATATTGCCATGAGTAAGTTAAAAATGATTCTTCTCATCAAACGCATTTTGCAGACTAAAAAAAATCCAAAACAAAGGGCCTTTTTTTGCAGCTGGCAGTGTTCAAAATCCAACTAAATTTCCCGTAGATTTTAACAAAACTACTTTTAGATAAATATAAAACTGAAGAAAATATAATGCACATATAAAACTGAAGCAGGAGTTGACAGGAATTCACATATGAGCATGGATAAAATAACCACACTTTTATTCAACCAGTTTGGTTGCTGTCCAACATCAACACAGGAATCTACTTTCCCAAAATATTGGCACCAACTTTCCTTACCGATTTCTATGGAATGGGCGACCTATACTCAATGCTGCAGTATTTGTCTTGTATGAACCTGGTGAACTGAAGCCATTCAGAAATCCACCATTCGGAAACGGAGCCTGAAGTAAGCATGACATATATCATGAGATTCACTGCAAACAAATAACTGAATACAAATTCTCAGAACTGTAATTTTAACAGATGCACATCTAAAACCAAGGAAGTACAGGCAGCCCTTGCTTAATGAATAGTCACGATTACGATAGAATCTTCCAAAAGCTACTTATGATCCAGTTCTGGAATTCTGACAGCGTATTCCCACCATGGTCACATGATCAAATTTCAGGCACTTGGAAACCGGTGCACCTTTATTGCCAGTTACAGCATTCCACAGTCATATGACTGCAATTTACTATGTTTTTGCTAGTTTCTAGCAAAAACTGCCCATAGGAATGAATGGATTCATTTTATGACCACAGCATTAGCATAAAGACTGCTGCAAGAAAGACCATACATTTGAGTTGGTCACGCGAGAGGCTTGACTGTCATAACTTACAACATAAATTCCAGGCTCCATTACAGTCAAAATCAAGGACTACCTCTTTCCATTACACCTGTATAATTTCCAGAATAATTGTTGTTAACAATATAGAATTGGATGCCTATACATTGGTTGGAGGTGTCCTCCAATTAATTACTTTTGAAAGTATTTTTAAAATAATATTGATATAACAGTGTAGTCAAAAGATAACTACAAACCAGATTATCATTTGAAATAAACACCTGCTCATGAAACACAAGCTTTTGTTTTGGAATCAACAACCCTGTCGAGTTCCAATATTTAAACAATTCAAAAATATAAAATTAGGACAATGCAAACTGCATTTCATTATATTCACTATTAATAAAGATCTGACTTTATTTTCTATTAGAGTTCTGCCAGTACAGATAGTCCTCGACTTACGACCATAAACCCAAAATTTCTGTTAAGTGAGAATTTGTTAAGTGAATTTTGCCCTATTTTACCACTTCTTGTCATAATTAAGTGAATCACTGCAGTTGATAAGATAGTAACCTGGTAGTTAATTGGATCTAGCTTCCCATTGACTTTGCTTTCAGAAGGTTGCAAAGGGGATCCCATGACCTCGGGAGACAGCAACAGTTGTAAGTACTGTTTCCCCGAAAATAAGACCTGGTCTATTTTTTTTTTTGCCTCCAAAACAGATATTTTCAGGGGATGTCCTACCCACTTACCGTAGGACTGCCGCAGCCAGGCATCTCACGTCCCGACACCTGCCTCGCCGGCCCACCTCTTCTGCAACCGCTCGTACCGGTCGGCCCCAGCCTCCATTTCTCCCTCAGAGGCCTTCAGGAAAGGCCTCTGCAGCTGAGAAATGAGCTCCAGATTGATACGCGTGGAAAGGCCTGATGACAAAACGGAGGCTGGGGATGCCACACAGATTAATCTGGAGCTCATTTCTCGGCTGCAGAGGCCTTTCCGAAGGCTTCTGATGGTGAAACAGAGCCGGAGGGGGGAGGCACAGTGTGTGTCAATCCTGAGTTCATTTCTTGGCTGCAGAGGCCTTTCAAGAAGGCCTCTGCCGGCAAAATGGAAGCCGGGGTTGACGCACACAAGCAGTGACGAGCAGCTGCCGAAGAAGTGGGCCTGTGAGGCAGGGATCGGGGCATGGGTGACCTGGCTACAACTGTCCTAAGGTAAGTGGATGTGGGGTGCATGGGGCAGCTCCACCCCCACCCCCACCCCCAATCTAGCTTGATTTTTACCTGTGCGCCTTTCCCACCTCGTGCAACCAGGTGCAATGGAGTGGGCAGGGCAATAAGTAGGGCTTATTTTGGGGGTAGGGATTATATTGGGCACTCGTGTAAAAATTGGTTTAGGGCTTATTTTCGGGTGGCAATTATTTTCAGGAAAACGCAGTAGGAACCAGTTGACAAGCATCTGAATTTTGATCACATGATCATGGTGATGCTGCAAAGGTTGCAACTTTGAATAATGGTCATAAGTCACATTTTTCAGTGCTGTTGTAACTTTGAACACTCACTAAATGAACTGTTGTAGGTCGAGGACTACCTGTAGTAAAAATAGTTATTTTATATATTTGATCATGATTAATTTATGCTACTATATTTTAGTTTCAGGGTAGCATCCTGAATTTGTAAAAAAAGCTTTTGTCTGCCAACTAGTTTGCACTGCCAATCTAATATAGTTCAACACTTCTGGAAACCCCATTTAGCTATAAGCATAAATATTTTCTATCTGGAATTTAAATGACTGTGTATAATCTCTGAAATTATCAGTTCTCTCTCTCCCAAGCCACAAAAAATACAATATGCAATTCAAACATCAATTAAATGCTGTATGAGGGTCAAATTATGTTATTATACGACAGGGGACTTGGTAATGTTTAACACATAGATGTATCTTTTGAAGTAAAGCAAATACTGCAAAGCGCAAACGTTAAGTACTTACCAATGGTGTTTCAAAATAAGGTGCAGGGTTTGGAGACCATGTCTGAGGCACAATACTATAGATGGAGTACTGTTGAGGACTGTATATAGGCTGCATGAACAGTGGTGAGGCAAACTGTGCTTGTGTTTGAACAGGTTGAACATAAACGCTGGAATCCACTCCCCGGTAACCATTCTTTGCAAAAAATGTGTTGATGGCTTTTATCCTGGCCTGTATAAGAAATTTAAACTTGGCTATATTTATCATACCAGGTATAAAGACTGTTACAGGACACAAATGTTATTATTTGTATTTCATCAGTTTCCTAACAGGTTAGTCTGTAACTTTTACTTTTGTTAAAATTTTAGGATTTGCAGTTAAAAATGGCAATTCAAATTAATTCTTGACTATTTCTGCAACCCAATTACATTCTTTCCTAAGCTATTTGCAGAATATCTTGGGAGCAATTGCAGTTCAGTTTAATAGATACACTTTTCAATCATTGCAATAATAATATTATTAATATTAATAATAATGTTAGAAGGGACCTTGGAGTCACCTAGCCCAACTTCCTGCTCACAGGTTGTTCCACTGATTAATTGTTCTAAATTAAAATTCTTTGGAACAAAATCAAATTAAAATCTAAAGTGTCTGGAACAAAGATTTTTTACTCTCTCCCCATGTTCAATTTTTATCAAGGTTCTACCGTGACAACATTACTCTTGCCACAAAATTATGTGAGAAATAATCCTTTGTAGTCTTATTCATAGTTAACCCTAACAAGGTTAACTTTGAATTAAACCTGAACTAAAGTTAGTCCTTCGGAATATTATATCTATGACACCCTGTAGAAAAATAATCATAAAGGTTATTATGATGATATTAATGAAAATCTAATAGTGATTAAGTTATGAGTATAACTTACTGTTTAAGTATTAAACTATAACTTGAGGTATACATGCGAGAATAAAGCTTACCATTATTGGCTTGCCCTGAAAGGTTTTTACTTCTTCCCGTAAATATTTAAAAGCCTGTATAGATATAAAAATATCCAATGACAGATCAGTGTAACAGGATTTTTAAAAACATTAAAGAACTTCCAGGATCGATTTCAAGCTGAAATATAAGTAACTCTACAGCGCTCTTCTGTTACTTTTGCAACATTTCAACTTTGTTGTATTTATTAAAGCATTAAAAAAAATATACACCAACTTGCTTTCCCATATTTTTTGAAACAATTTTTTTCTCAAAAATCATCCATAGATTTTTCTTTAAAAAACAAACAGTAATTCTCTTTAAATCACATCCCAGAAGTAAAGACCTGTGCAAAACAATATACAGATAAATGATAAAACATCAGCTAGCTTACTTTAACTGCAAATCAATGTCACCAAAATGAATGCATCTGAAAGTTCTGGAATTTTCTCTAACTGAGCAATGGAGATTAGAGAGCTTATCCGATGGCAGAGGGGAGGGCAAAGGAAAGCACAATTTTGCCAAAGGAAGAACCAGCATTGTGTCTGAGATTGAATACACAATGTCTAACCAAGCTGAATGGGTGATACATTACATTTTACATGTAAGTTGTATATATGGTCTGACATTCAGGCATGTTAAAGTCCTCTGAGTAGAGTCTCTCTCAACACCAACCTGCTGGGGAGTTCCGATTTCACCTTTCAGATGAACACAAGCTGTTCTTGCTGGGAACTTGGGGGCTAAAGAAAGTGGAAGAGCTGTCATCATTGGACAGGAAGAATTTCATTTGGGCTTTTGGAAAACACCAATGTGTGTGGTGGCACATCTTCTGCCATTTACTGATTCTTTACAATCACCTAGCTGCTTACAATCATCAATGTCCTTAGCTTTTGGAATACTGAAAGTGGAAGAAATAGATTTTTTGCTTGGATAGATGGTATCAAGAAGTCTTAGGTAGGATTAAACAACAATTAATGGGCTGCAATCAGTTGCTAGGCTTGGATAGTATGGCCCAAATGGAGTGCAGACAATTTACGATTTCAAATTCTTTACCATTTTACATGATTTTGGTGAAATTGGAAGTAGGTATGAATCAGCGGAGGTTGGAACTCTGTAAACTAGAATAGAATAGACCTGGAAGGGACCTTGGAGGTCTTCTAGTACAGCCCCCTGCTCAAGCAGGAGAACCTATACCATCTCAAATAAGTAACTGTCTAGCCTCTTTTTAAAAATCCCCAGTGACGGAGCGCCTACGATTTCTGGGGGCAAGCTATTCCACTGGTTAATTGTCCTCAATGTCAGGAAGCTTCTTGTTAATTCCAGGTTGCTCCTCTTTTTGATCAGTTTCCAACCATTGTTTCTTGTTCTGCCCTCTGGTGCTTTGGTGAATAAAGTGACCGCCTCTTCTTTGTGGCAGCCCCTCAAATACTGGAATATTGCTATCATGTCTCCCTTATTTCTTCTTCTTTTTAGACTAGCCAAACCCAAGTCCCGCAGCCGTTCTTCATATGTTTTAGTCTCCAGGCCTTTGATCATCTTAGTTGCTGTTCTCTGAATTTTTTCCAAACTCTCAACATCTTTTTTTTTTAATATGGTAACCAAAATTGGCTGCAGTATTCCAGATGTGGCCTTACTAGGGTTTTATAAAGCGGTACTAATACCTCGCATGAGCTTGTTTATACAACCCAGGATTGTATTAGCTTTTTTGGCTGCTGCTCCTGCACAGTGCTGGCTCATAGTTAAGTGATCGTCCACTAGGAGTCCAAGGTCCCTCACACAGTTACTGTTTTTAAACCAGGTCTTGCCCAATCTGTATTTGTACCTTTGATTTTTCCTGCCTAAATGTAAAACTTTATTTTTCTCCATACTGAAACTCATTTTGTTGGATAGAGCTCATTGTTCAAGTTTGCCAAGATCTTTTTGGATACTCTGTCTTCTGGGGTGTTGGCTGCTCCTGCCAGGTTGGTATCATCTACAGATTTGATGAGTTCCCCTTCAATTCCCTCATCTAAGTCATTGATGAAGATATTGAAGAGTACTGGGCCTAAGACGGAATCTTATGGTATCCCACTGTTTACTTCTCTCCATGTGGATGTAGTACTGTTGAGGACTACTCGTTGAGTATGGTTTGTAAGCCAGTTACAGATCCATCTGGTGGTGATGTTGTCTATTCCACCTTTTTCTAGCTTACCAAGGAGTAGGTTGTGCTCTACTTCATCAAATGCCTTACTGAAGTCTAAGTATACTATATCTACAATATTTCACTGGTCTGTTAGTTTAATTACTTTGTCGAAGAATGAAATAAGATAAAAGATTAAATAACCAGGAATAGAGTCAAAGTAATTGATTCTGTATGTCTGTAATAAGCAATTCTGACAAGGAGCATGATTTCTCCAAAGCAAAATTAGATATTTGGGGGCTAAAAGAGATAACCAAAAATCCATTTAAAACTACAGGTCTTAACACAGATTATTTTGCTTGCTTTTAGAGAATGGAAGAAAAATTTCAGATCAAAATGTAAAGCAAAAGATCCTCACAAGGTCATCAGAATAACAAAAATCAGAATTTTGGTGAACTTGGTTCTAAATATATAGTTTAGGCTACTACTTTTCAACTAAACTAAAGAAAATTCCAGAATGAAATTATATACAGACCTAAACCCATTAGTGAGATTCAAAGAAAGCACAAAATATAACAGGTCACATCAAACAGGATTCTTAATACAGCAAAGAAATTTCCAAGAAAAAGGAGTTTTGTTTTGTTTGGTTTAACAAAAATCTTGATTTGACCAAATTTTAAATAATTTCATTTTCAAAGCTGCAAATACCAGCACATCTGTAGAGCTGCAGAAATCTTATGAACCTAATTTGAAGAGCAGCAGTCTATAGAAATGCTGAAAGAGTCTAAAATTCAATGTGCCTGTTTAATAAAAAAACTTCTGAAGAGATCGAACACTAAAATATTTCCAACCACTTTCAGATTAACTGTACAAGAACATGCTTGAAGGGGAAGATAGCAAGAACATGTTTGCATATGTGCTACTGGTTAAGAGTAGGTCATTTACTCATAGTCTTAAGAAAGTAATTCTGTCATATGCTTTATTAAGATCAATTTCCTGGTGCTGTCACTCTGCCTATGTTTTTGAATTTATAAATACAATCTATTTTTATTAAATTAATATATTTAAAATCAGGAATTCCAAAATGCTTTGACTTATCTGAGACACCAGAAAAAAGTAGAATTCATTAGTGCAATGAAATTTAGAACGCACAATATTCTTACCTGCTGCGCGTCAGTATCTGACTGGAATGTAATGTACCAGTTGTTATTGTGAGCAAATTCACAACTTATAACTTTGGGGCAGCTTTCATTCTTAAACAGTGCTTTTACCTCCTGGATTAAATATATAAAAACTATTTCAGTGAATTATGTTAACAATTATGTTTAAAAAAATCCTATCCAAGCTGGAGGGGATTTTAATTTCTGCAACAATCGCTTGAAAATTACTGTTTTTATTTTAATTTTTAGTTTTTAAAAAATTACTCTATTCACAGCTAAGAAAAAGTCATCATTCTTTACAACTAGCAATGCTGATGTGATACCTTTTTAAAAGGCCATTACATGAGAATGCTTGCTATAAGAATGCAGTAAACAATACAGATATTTTAAAAGTACAATCATAGCCAAATATTTGTACTCTCAAATCTCTGGCTCAAAACCAAGATGTAGCTCAAATACATTATCATCTGTCAGTTGCAAACTTGTATCAAATATAAACACTACTTTAGCCTACTGGTTATTATCCTTCAAATGAACTTGTGTTCATATTACCATATTTGTAATAAATTTTAAAAGACACTTACCTCTACTGGTGTGGTTTCAGGGATCTCACGAAGGATAATAATGCAACGCTTATGATTTGGTCTAACTTTCTCTCCTTGCTCATCCACTTGGACTATAGGAGAAGCTAAATTAAACGAAACAAAACTCTTGTTTATTGAAAATAAACTGAGAAAGCAGGATGAAAATCTCTTTCTTCAAATTTCAACTTAGTCTAAAACAATATGCTTATTTGGTCACTGTTTAGTATTCGATGTATACAACTCTGCTCATTCTTCTATTATAGTGTCATCATCTGGCACAAAAGATTTTATGTATGCCACTAAAGTACTATTTTGTATTTATGGGAATAATGCTCTGTACTGGTCAAAGTTTCAGGTTGTTTTAGAAAATACATCAACTTCAATTTATTACCTGGATAGGGACCAGAATCTCAGTCACTCAGCAATGCAGTTAAGCAAGAAGCCCATGTGACTGCTTTACTCAACAACTGCAATCCCAGCATTCCTAGTTGCAGTCATTAAGCAGAGCAAAAGAACTGCTTGCTGGGATTAGCTCCCTCGTGCATGGAAGAAAACTGCTCTGGTGGGCTGAACGCAGCTTGGACCTTCAGGATCTACGCTCCATTTTTGCACCATGATGAAATTCACCTCTCCTGTGTGTGTGGAAGAGAACTTCTCTGGTGGGCTGTGGGAATGGAGCATGAACCTTTGGGACCTAAGCTTCATTTCTCCACCCTGCTGAAGGAGTTCTGTTTCTCTCTACTGATTTTCTAGGGAAGCTGGCAGAAAAAATTGCAAATGGCAATCACGTGATCAAAGGGCACTTGGCAAACAGTCATATGTACAAAGAAATTGTCAACTACTCAAGATGCAGCCATTATTGGTGGAGGGACGTTTTATAACAACTGGAAGTGTTACATGATTGGTTGTAAGTCAAAGTAGGCCTCACTTATCATTTGCCTCATTCAGCAACCATTCAAAGTTAGGATAGTGATAAAAAAGTAGTTTTACAACCAATGCCTGCATTTATGACTTTCAGAGCATGCCTCAGTCACATGACTGCTATTATAGTCAGTATATGTGATCCTGTGCCTGAGCTGTTGATTTCATTTCCCTCCCCACTTCCAGAGAGATAATAGTGTTCTGTAATGTCATGCTCGGCCACATGACCATGGAAATCTCTTCAGACAACACTGGCTCAATAGCCTTGAAGTAGAAATCAGCACTGTCTCCTATAGTCTGCAATAACTAGCAGAATAACATCTAGGATACCTTTACCTTTTTTTTTTTTTAACCTCCAGAGAGATGGGAGAAGAAAGGACTACAAGAGGGTTAGAATTACACAATGGAGAATACATACTGAAAAGAATGCACTGGTGCCAATTCTGAGTACATACAGTCCAGTATGTCTGCTCTCACGTAATCCCTTTCTCTCCAATCTCTTTGCTTTGCAGGGGAGTGGAGAGAAAAAATAGGCCAGGTACCAAAAAGATTGCTTCCCCCCCCCTTTTTTCTCACCTTGGTAGAGCAGAGATTGGTTAAATGGGGAAGGGAGAGGGCAACCAATATTTAGTTAGTCTCTCTTGTACCTGACCTGTTTTTTGTCATCCCCTTTTTGTCAAAGAAAGTAAATAAAAACATCAATTCCCTTCTTGTTAATAATCCCAGTGCCAGAGTGATCATTCCAAAGGAGGGTGAGAGAGGAAAAGGAAAATACAGAATAACTGGTCCCAACTGTAGTTGTTAAACAAGGACTACCTCTATATCCATTTCTATGTAATAACAAGGTCAGGATAAGAGCTTCATATAGAATACTAATTATATAGAATTCACACAGAAATGAGATATATATCAAATACAGGTAGTCCTTGAGTTATGAATGTAATAGAGCCTGCCCATTCCATTCATTACTAGAATATTTGTAGCAGTGAATCTCATACCATGAACACGATTCACTCCCAGCTTTTACCCACACATTTGTTAATTTAACAGCTTGTTAAGAGAACGTGAGGTATCAGAGTGGGAAAGGCCATGAGGGGGGGGCTTAGTTATCTTCAGACTACCCAAGGCCTCCCGACCCACTGAAATACTTCATGCTCCCTCCCCTGGGGGCCCACAATTACTCCCCCCCATCCTGCCGTGCCAGATCACTTACCTTATGAAGATCTGTCTCCTCTCCGTTTCTTTCACTGCTCCTGGTAAGAGTAGAGGGAGGCCTCCGAGGAGGATATCTGGAAGCATGTGGCCACTGCCCATGGCCTCTGCGGCCTGGAGGTGGCCTCTGAGGCCCAAAACAGGCCTTTGGAGACCCACTGAAGTGTCCCCTAGTGTCCTTTCTGGGCGGCAGTGGCCTGGAAAGGACCTCCAAGCCTCAGAATGGAGGCCGTGGGCAGCAGCCAGGTGCTTCTGGAGGTCTGTTCTGGGCCTTGGAGGCCTCCTCCAAGCCTCCAAGGTCCAGAACGGAGGCCAGGAGAGATTTTTGCATACCTCGGGAGATTTGTTCTCCCCAGCTTCCATTCCTTCTCTGTTGCAGAGAACAGAAGCCTACATTACTGTGAGATCACGCAAGATCAGTAGCGTGAGATTTCATGTGATCTTGCGTTACTTTAGATCTCCATTCTCTGCAAACACATCGAAGGAAGCAGCGGAACAGCCAAGAAAGTGATGTATCTCTCTATCTTCGCAAATTAAGTATCCATAAGCCTAGTGCCTAGGAAGACCCAGGAGGGGGGAGGGAATAGCCAGGGTGAAGTTGCAATGCTACTGGGTCATTCGTAAGGGTGGCAACATTTGTGATTTCGGGACTTTTTCATAAACACTAGGAGGCATTTATAGTGTAACTTCAAACATTCACTAAGGAATGCTCATAACTTGGGGGTTACCTGTATAGGTAAAGGTAACAAATATGTTAAATATTTTTGACATACCTCTTAGTACTTCCACAATAAGATCCATATTGGTTGTCAGTTTCTTAATTCCTTCCATATTGGCAATAGTCCATATTGGAATAAATTGATCACTGTCCATCTGAGACATCAAGTAAAGATCCTTGGATAGATTCTCACTAGAAAAAAGTTAGTAAACATTTTACGGAACTTTTTAAAAAACAAATATTATTTTCTTTTCAAAAAAATAAAATAAAGCTACTAACCCCAGAAACAGTTTAAGTAGTTAATAATACAACCCAGCTACTTTTAAAGGATGTGCTATTTTTAAACAAAATCCTAATCATATTCCCAAATTAAAGAATCACCACAGCAATATAATCTGATATTATCACTGAAAAATAGTTTCAGATTTAAGGTATAGAAGTAGACGGCTGTAAACATTTCAAGAATATCTTTGCTCCCACTTTACATCACCCAGATTGTTCCAAGCTGATTTGGGTATTTATTAATGCTTGCCAAACACTAAATTATGGATATCATTGCTGACTAGCTTGCAGCAAAATCTAGTTTTAAGAAAAAAATGGATGGAAAGGGAGTCCGTTATTTCTCTGAATTAACTATATCAGAGTATATTAACACAGCAACAAAAAGTATGCATTTTAGATTATTAATAATGTGAAATTATGCAAATAATTTGGATCATGATATAATTATACCAATTATGTAAACTGCAATGGAATTTGGTCTGTTCCATGTGAACCCCATTACATCCCAGTCCAGCAAATTGAGGTTTTACTTTGAACATCTTTGGCAACTGTATTTAGAATTCAAGTATTCACTTATTTATCCCTAAGAAAGCATGGACAGTTATTAGAAAAATAAACTATTTCTCTATTTTATTTCAGGGTATTTTAATTGAGATGTTTTTACCTCAATCTGACTTTGCAACTACATCTAGATCAGTGGTTCTCAACCTTTCTACTGCCGTGACCCCATAATACAGTTCCCCATGTTGTGGTGACCCCCAAGTGGGTGTGGCCACCAATAAGAGGGAGGAGGACAGCTAGGGAAAGGGGGAAAAAATGGCGGACAGCATGGTTTGGCGACCCCCGTGAAATGGTCATTCGACCCCAAATGGGGTCCCGACCCACAGGTTGAGAACCACTGATCTAGATCTTATTATTAGCACTGAGAGCCTATAGAGCAGACATGTCAAATTCGCGACAGCACGTGACGTCGTGCGACGTATCAGAACTTTTCCCCTATTGCTGGCAATGGGGTGGGTGTGGTTTCATGACGCGTCCAGCCTGTGGGCCGGCAGTTTGACACCCCTGCTCTAGAGACATCTGTCATTAAATTTTCAAATTAATTCCTTATAAATGTCCACAAAGTATGCCAAGTGACTCTATTTAGCTCAAACTAAGCTCATGAATATACTAATATAATCAAAAGGCACAATACCGTGAGAAACAGAACTCTAATTGTTTCTTCAAGCATTCTTTTAAATCTTCTGTAGAAATGACAGGGTTGCCTTCACCTGAGAAAAGAATTCCAAGAATATATTGTCTAAAACCAGGAACTTAGATTCAGTTTTTATCCCTACTGACAGAAAGCAGTTGTAACTCACTTCCTCCTAGCTCCTAACACCCTTCTGAGAATATGGTGTTGAAAATTAGGGAATTCTTAGAAAGCAGAGGCTGAGTTCCCAAAATTAGGGAATTCTTAGAAAGCAGAGGCTGAGTTCCCAAAGCCTCTGCTTTCTAAGAATTCCCTAATTTTACTTCCTTTCTTCTTTCAGCAATGTTGGATCAAATGATATCAGTAGCCAAAAAAGTCTTGTTCTTAATGGAGGACTGGTAGGACAGCAGTAGGGCAGATTTATTAAGAACACCAAATTAACAAATGGTATCAAATCCCCAATACCTGGGCTGCATTCAGTTATTTGTAATTGCATATAACAATAATAATAATAATAGAGTTGGAAGGGACCTTGGAGGTCTACTAGCCCAACCCCTATACCATTTCAGACAAATGGCTGCCCACTCTCTTCTTGAAAACTTCCAGTGTTGGAGCATTCACTGCTTCTGGAGGCAGGTTGTTCCACTGGTTAATTGTTCTAACTGTCAGGAAGTTTCTCCTTAGTTCTAGGTTGCTTCTCTCCTTGATTAGTTTCCATCCGTGGCTTCTTGTACTGCCTTCAGGCGCTTTGGAGAGTAGCTTGACTCCTTCTTCTTTGTGGCAGCCCCTGACATGGAACACTGCTATCATGTCACTCCTCGTCCTTCTCTTCATTAGACTAGACATACCCAATTCCATATAGTAATTACTGTTGCTTCTTTTAAAACTTTATTAAGTACACAACATTGGTTTGTAGTATTTATGGTGTTCTAGGTATATTTTGAATAAAGGGTTGTTCTATTAATATCAACTGCATTGAAAAATTCTTTATAGGATTGCTGCTGTCAGTTAAGGTCTATAAACAAATTAGAACTAATGTGATAGCGATAAAGATAATATAAAAATATTTTTATCAGAAATCTATAACCCACAAATACTTGTAATAGTCTATTTGCCTTTAGATACTAGTTCAAATGTTTTGAAGAAGAAAAAAACAATTATCACCTGGAAGAAAACCTTACATGCAATTTACACATAAACAATAGAATTAAACAAGCTTTCCATTTTGTTGTTACATAAGCACAAATAATGCAAAACAAGACTATGGCACAAAACTGAATTAGGACATCAAGCTATCAAAGAAGAAATAAAAAATATAGATTGGGTTTAATAGTAAATGAAGCATGAAAAAACAAGCCATTTGTATTGAAATTATTTTCAATCTAGTATCCTTTAAAAAACATTTAAAAGAAGAGAAGCAAAACAGGACCTTGTCTTGCCTGGGAAACTAAATTATAATTTTCAACTTTTCATTAAAACCCTTAAACATGGTGTTTGGGGTGGGGACTGAAATTTTAACACTTTAAAAAATGTTTGTGTGCTTTCAAAGCTGCAATATTCTTCCTTCGTATCTCTTTTCAAAAGAAAACAATTGAAAGAACTCTACCTCAGAATATATACAGAATATCTCCACTACATTCCCTGAAGTGGATCCCACCTCTTCCTTGGGCAATTGATTCCATTTATCAATTGTTTTCACTATTAATACACTTTTAACACTGAACTGAAATCTACCTTCTTGTAACAAATTCTCACATAAGAGGATCACAATCTTAATCTGTGTAACATACTTTCAGAAATCTAGGCAGTATTGTATGTCTAGTCTTTTCTTCTCAAGACTTAATTAACTTAGGTCCTTCCCTCTCTCCTCATAGCAATTAGAATCTAGTTCCCTAATCATCCCTGCTGCCCCTTTCTTAATTGATCCAGTTTCTCCAGAATTCCTTTATAGTACAGAACTGGGAAACTACTGCCTATTTTGGGACCTAATAAAAATAACAAAATGTAGAACTATTAAATATTATTTGGGAACTATGCTTCTCAAACTATATTCTTTTCGCAGCCCTACTGCAATACACTCGGTTTGCAACCAACTACCATATGAACTTTTTTCATAACCGCTATTATGAATATTACTCTATACAATGGTTTCATTTCTTAAATGAAGAAATCAGCATCTATCTCAAGTTTTATTCTAAATATTGACAATCTAAGATGAGTCAAATGTTGCCCTACAGTCTTGACAGAAATAACAAAATAAATACAAATGAAGGCGAATACACGTGTCCCAGGATAATGTTGCAGGATCCAAGCTGGGTTGGTCACCGGGACCAGGAGTTTTGTCTTTCAGACTCTTGCTGGAGCCCCCATCCTCAGGTTTAGAAGACTAAGCCTCTGATCCTCTGGTCCTGATGACTGACCCAAATTGGATCCTGCAAATAAACAACAGTCCTTCTTCGAAGGTTATCTTCACATACATATAGTATTGCACGAATCTTGGTTAAATTAATAGCACTGATACCCTCGTGGATATTTTTCATCAGAATGTTGCTCTTTCTGGAGTCTCAGGAATATTTTTTCTGGTCTGTCAATTGTCTTCTGAATAACTACTAAATATAACATATAACACCCCTTTTCCAAATTCTACCAAAATATTAAGGAATCACCATTTTAGACAACTATACTAGGTGGATGTAGAAAAATAAACCCCTACTGCCACTATCCAAGCTCTGAGATACCAATAACCTCGTGTACTATACATAACTGGTACTGAAGGTATAGTGTGTATGTACTATTCAGAACCTATGTAATATACTGCATAATTAATCAATGCATTCTGAATAACATTTTGTCGCTATTTCTAGTTTTGATCAATGTAGATTTTCACAATGTAGGTTATTTACCCGAAACATCATAGAGTGGATATCCAAGTTCCTCATGTGCTAAGACCAGACCATTAGCAGCTGATTCCTCAGCACATGAACTGTTTCTTGACAATTCACAAGATGAATACATTGCTTCATATTGTTTAGTACAATCCTCTGCAGCCTCAGTATTGCCTGAAAGAGTACAAGAGCAATCAATGGGAAATAAAGTCTGGCAGCATCCCATCCTTATATAAAAAGCTAATGCTTGAGAACCTCTTGTGAGATACTAGGCTGAGCAGAAATGGACAGCACCTGTGCTGCTATAATCCTGTCTCTTTAAGCCCTCTCCCCAGTCAGAACCGCAACCTTGGCTGTAAAAGCTGTGCTGAGAGATAGCTGGTAGTGTTGTGTGGGAGCAAAGCTCTTAGATCAGTGTTCCTCAACCTTGACAATTTTAAGGCATGTGGACTTCAACTCCCAGAATTCCACAGCCAGCAATGCTGGCTGTGGAATTCTGGGAGTTGAAGTCCACATGCCTTAAAATTGTCAAGGTTGAGAAACACTGTCTTAGATAGAGATAATTGTCTCAAGGAATAGAAGTATTGAACTCCTAAATGGTAGCTGGAGTACCAGTAGTAGGAATAGTTGTAAATTGGATATAATTAAAAGAATCTGTGAGACCTCCAAAATACAAAGTCTTAAAAAACTATACTTAATTATAGAAGTATCGTCTCTCTCTCTCTCTCTCTCTCTCTCTCTCTCTCTCTCTCTCTCTCTCTCTCTCTGTGTGTGTGTGTGTGTGTGTGTGTGTGTGTGTGTGTGTGTGCGCGCGCGCGCGCACCCGCTAACTTGGATGCATCCACCAATTTTGGCTTTTCCCAAAAAATTTTTATATAAATGACAGCTTAAAAGATTGTCAAGGATATTAGACAATTAACAACTACACCTTCTCTCCCCACCTTTTTTACAATCTATAATCCCTTCTACCTGTCCTTCATTCTTCAGATTACAGCTGTGAAACAACTTCAAAAGCTTGTTTCAAAAAACAAGTAAAGCAAACCATGATTCAATGTGATTTATATTTAGATCAGTTTTTCTACATATATTTGGAGACAACCAAGACATGTCAACCAAAGTCTCCAAAGTACCAACGAAAACACCAAAATTTTAAGTGAGCTCCACAACCCCTTGAATATTATTAGATTGTATCTTGCCTTTATCAGTAGCTCAAAGGGAGCAAATTACCTAATATTCTTTCCTTTCTCCTGTTCCCCACAATAACCCTATGAGGTAGGTTGGGCCGAGAGTGACTGGCCCAAGTCACACCCCCCTGATTTTTCATGCATAAGGCAGGACTAAAATCCAGAGTCTTCTGTTTTCTAGTCCAGCATCTAAACTACTACACAGAAGTGGCTCTACACTAATATGAACTACTATGTTACATTTTTTTACTCTGTGACAGGAAAAATATTAAACACAAAGGAACTAATCGTATTACATGGAAATCTTAGTTTAATGAACCAATTAAAGGGAAGAAATATTTGCTATTCATGAATGGCTGCTAAATAAAGAAGGGCATTATAGTGGTGGTTTACATCTTTTGAGTGATGGCACTACACAAAAGATAACTATCAATTTATATCATTTTCATGAAGATGTCATTTAAATTTTGTCTGCATATAATGTCTGTTACATTGAGATTCCAAAAAAGTAGTATAGTCAATTTTAATTAATTTTAAATTTAATCAGATTAATTTTCTCTGAGTCTGCTCACTGCGACCCTATCTCTTTTTAAAGAAATAATTTAAAATATAATGGAACAAAGAGATGCATGGCTAAATTATACAAATAACCACCCAGAGTCAAGTTATAGGGAAGATGGGCAGCATAACAAACAAAGTGAAAATGTGCATGGCATGTGACCATTGTTTAGGAAATATAAAGTACATATGTATATTTTATATACGTAAGTTATTCTTTTATACTTTTAATGTTTTTAATAGTTTATAATGGTTCCAAGTAATAATTATTTTATATTTGCTTTATATTATTTTATTGGATTGTTGTAGTCACTTTCCATGAGATGGGTGGCCATATAAATTTGATTAATATTTCTAAATTCTCTTCTTAGCCTAGGGCAGGGCTTTTCAACTTTTTCACCCATTGTATCATTTTTAGGATATGGTAACATCCAGGTACCACCAGTCACCTAGCAAGGTGTCAAAAACTTGATGACCCAAAAAAAAAAAAAAAGAAAAAAGTGATAGAGTATAGGTAGTCCTCGACTTACAACAGTTCACTTAGTGATTGTTCGAAGTTACAATGGCACTGAAAAAAGTGCTCCCCAAGCCACAGCCAAGCAAGACACCTGCCTGCCCGCCCAGTGGCGCTCTTCCTCCTGTCCGAGGTTTTCATTTTTGTGAGCATTTCTGTTGAGGATTGGCAGCGGAGGGGAGGTTGGTTTTTATTCCCCGTCTGCTGGGTATTTGCAGCAGATTTTGGTCACTTCACATGACCCTGGGACACTGTGACCGTCATAAATATGAATCAGTTGTCAAGCATCTGAATGTAAATCACAAGCCCCTGGAGATGCTGCAACATTCTAGCTGATTGGCGCTTCTTCTGGGCTCAGAAGCGCCAGGATCAGCGCCACGCTCCAGCTGGCACTGATCCTGGCGCTTCCACTGAGCCCTGACAGCCCCGAAGAAGTGCCGATCAGCTGGAAAGCAACACTGATCCTGGTGCTTCCACTGAGCCCTGACAGCCCTGCAGCTCCAGCCATCTCTCGCTCAGGCTTGTGCAGTGCTGCCACTAGTTCAGTTCATTCCCCTCCCCCGCTCCCACTTTTCTAGGATGGTCGCGTACCACCTGCCAGGTGCCAATGTACCGCAGGTGGTACCCATACCACTGGTTGAAAAGCCCTGGCCTAGGGGAGTGAAACTCAAATTTCACTAAGGATCGCATCAGCATTGTGGTTGCCCTCGGGGTGGGGGGGAGGTGGCTGTGGCTGGGTGGGTGCAGCCGAGTGGGAGGGCGTAGCCAGGTGGACGTGGCTGGTTCAAGTTGCTCATGTCAGGGGGGCTGTGGGGGTGCTGGCTGGGGTTCTACAGGTCTCCGGCAGATGGGGACAGGACAGGGGTATGCACTGGGCCCTGGTCCATTGGAGGACTCTCACCGTCCCTCTCAGGCTGTGCCAGAGTCCCCGGGACAACAGTCCAAGCTGCCTGGGGCCCTGGGCGACAGGGGCAGCTGCCCGGATTGCGTGCCTTCCCCCCCCCGTGCCTCTGCCTGCTGCTTGGTGGGCCTATCTGGCACCCGCAACTCTTAGACCCACCTATGCTGCGTAGGCTGCAGGATTCCGGAGTGCACTAGCTAAGGGGCTAGCGGGCTACAGCTGCTGCTGGGCACTGCTGGCCCCCGTGTGCTTGCTGCCTCCTGTGCGCGTGCCCAGGAGGGGTGCCCAGCCAGTCCAGGGCGACAGAGGCCGATTCCTCACTGGAACCAGGTCCATCACGGGCCACATCTGGCCTGCAGGCCTTATGCTTGACATGTTTGCCTTAACCTCTGATCACCTAGCAACAATTAGCCACACTAATTCACATAAATATTTCAAGATACTTAAGAGTTAGTAATCTCCTACTTAGCAGATTCTACATGTCAAATATAAAAATGAAGTTTATTCATAGTGCAAATAACTGAGGGAGTCAATGGCCTGATTCCATAATAAATTATTTACTAAGTTGTTCGTTATCTTAACGTAGAAAAGGTTGTACATGGCCCTCAGATCTCATAATCTTTTTGTTCATAGGGTCAAGTGTTCGCTAAGGTGCAGAAATGAGAAAAAGATCAAGACAAAAGTGAGACAAGAAAAATAAATAGGAGAGGAAAGAGAAAGAAAAGTCAAGAGATCATTTCTGTACATTTAGCAACATGGTCCCTCTTAGCGCGATACTTGGTCATCACTGGGCCACTGTACTTATAGTCCTAAGAGAATTAGCCTTACTATTCAAACATCTTAATTTCTCCAAAGTTAATGCCTCATTGTTAAATGCCACTAGCATCCAGTCTGTTCAAGAACAAGATTTGCTTCTTACTACTAAATTCTGGTACTAGTGTTATATCTAGAATTCAAACTAAGAAAGGAATTAAGTAACATTTAGATACAATTAGATCTTACCTTCTGTACAATTACCCTGCACAGCTGCTGCCTCTTGCCATGATTGCTCAGTGCCATTAGTTACTGCTGCAGCTTCTGGGTTTCCCTGCATGCCTTCTTGCCATACCTTTGCATTAGGATTTAAGCTGGCACCTTTCGAGGTTACCTGCTGAGAAAACAGAAGATATGCATTAGAAAATAAAACTTCAGAAAATAACTTTGGGTTGTTTTTATTGCTCTTTGCTGTTCAATCATTCTACTCGGGCAATCTACACTGTTTAATAAATAGACAAATAAACACACTTGTAATTTATCATCGCGTGCAACTGAGTAAATTTAGATTCCATGTTATTCCTCAATCTCAAAGCTTTAGAGTATAAAAATATTGTAAAGTTCTTCTAGTCATCCAACCATTTCCACATCTCAGGTTTTACTCTTGGCATGTGTGGTAAAGCCTGATTCTTCAAAGATGTTAGGGTCCCCCCCCCCAATCTTACTTACAGCCTCTTTTGTGAAAGCCCAAGCCTTGCACACTGAAATAAAACTTTCCTGAAAAAAAATCACATTCTAAAATACAACACAAGAAAAAGCCTCTTTATTAAGGTAGCATAATGATACTAAACAAGCACTGACCATCTTGCCACAGAGAAGCACAAGCCAGAGAATAAGGAAGTTGAATTTCCAGAGTCTAGCCTTCTGGAGTCTCTCTAGCATCAAGGAGTAGTTTTAGTACCATCCCCTGTCCATAGAACAGAAAAAAATAGGACATAAGGAAACAGTTTGGATGGCCATGAATATACTTTTGCTCCTATAAAAGTTCAAAAATTGTAATAGCTCTATAGTTTTGCAACTAATAAACTACCTACATAATTTGTCCTAAAATCTCTCCATCATGATATTTGAAGGAGTTATTTTGAAAAAGTAATCCATGCTTAGATTGTATTAATTTAAAATTTGATACAGAAATTGAGTTTCATCTCTATTTTCCCTTAACATTTGCCTCAAAAACATTCTTAAAAAATAAAATTAACGTGCAAAGCTTTAAAACAAGACTGTTCTCAACATTAATTCCACAAAAATCAACTAACTAATTAATTAAGGACAGCAAAAAAAAAACAACAACCCAGAACTTAATGAGTGTATTCTTGTTTCATAACATCATTAGTTTCCAGAAGCTCCTGTGTTTCTGATCAAACAGTGGTTTCTACATACTGTGTGATTATTATAAAACCCGATTTAATTGGCTAATGTACAAAGAAGTGCATTCCAAAGGCAGAAATTTACATATAAATTACTGGCATGGTTTAAATACAAAGTATAAAAGTGCTCAACTTAAGAATTCCAATATTCCTTAAAAAAGTAGGAGTAAAATAAATCTTTGCTGAGTATTCCTCAGGCATAGAAACAAGGATTGCTTTTTTTTTTTTGGGCAAGATTCACTTAGTTCTGGATTCTGCAACAAGACTGACATTACCCATGTATCATTCAGTATTACAAAAAGTACATTTTAATGTAATTATAGAAATATGCAGATATAGTAAAAAACATCCGCCTCAAGTATATTAATGTTTTGGCTATATACAGGCCAATGGGCATTCTTAGAAAATAAAATCAAATTTTAATGTATGGGCATTTAATAATGCCCAGTGGTTTATTTAGAACTGACCCAACATATCCCAAAAAAAGACAACACCATATGCTCACACTTACAATATATTTCTCTTTTAGCAAAAAAGCAATGATTTTGAACAATTCAGTGAATCCCTACCAACAGCACTGCAAATTATCATTCTGAAATAAATAGTTTCATTTTTAAAAGAGCAATCCTAATCCAAAATCTTACAAATGGGTAAATAATGCTATGAAGGTGACTACTGTACATATTTTCAAATGACTAGTAGCTTTTTAATAGTTGGCAAGACTTTCTTATAGTACTACTTTTTGAGGGTTTGGAAAAGTTATAAGAATAAACGAACTGTTTAATTGTAAATTAAATTGATGTTTACCAACAATAATCTTTAATGAATAAACTCAAACCACAATTAAAAGCACAAAGTTTCTATATACCAATTTCCTGCATCTTTTAGCAATCCTAAATTTTCATATATAAGATTCAGCTGAAATCTAAAGCCAATACTATAGCTTGCTTTTACAATGTGCTGATGACCCTGACTGAGCAGCCTTGAAAACAAGAAATAGTGTGGTATGTCCAAATATTCAATAGTTTGGATTAAGAACCTGTTACACAAGTCTATCATTCAGTGAAAACATTTAATATAGCTTCTATATCAGATATATAGGCCTATATCAGACTATAATATTTTCTCCTTTTCTTTATTGTAAAAATTAAAATGAATGCAAGTAAAATTAGTAACATTCATACAACTTTTATAATAGAACATTAGAAGTATCCTCCCCACTCAACAAATTAAGCAGATGTGGAGACAATGTCTATCAAGAAGACTACTCTCTCAAAAGCATGATCTGTTATAATAATCCTAAAATACCATCTCTGAATCAGATATGTCAACAACAAGTACTGCATGTTTTTTAAAAAATTACATCCAATTCAGGTTATAGACAAGTAAACCTTTGGACACAACGTAACAGATTCTAAATAAATACAGATAGTCCTTAATTGTGTTCACAACTGGGATTGGAAAATTGTTAAATGGTGTTAAGTGACTAGGATTTTATATCTCTGAAAGAAATGAACTATATTTGTAAATCACAGCAGTCAACACATAATGTGATTAATTTTGTTTTAACTTAGAATCCAGTCTCTAAAGTAGAAATGAATGTAAAGCTGTAAGTAAAGTAATTCTAGGTACTTCTGGCTATGATCTGCTTAGTATTATTCAGTCAAAGAGATATTTAAATTTAGAATATATTTTCAGACATGATCTAAAGGCTAAGAAAAAAATTAAATGAAACCTTATTTCTATTGCCTCCATTTTGAATCCTTGTTCAAGGGTAGGAAAACCAAGTTAATTGGGAAAACATGATTTTCAAAAAATATGTTTAAAAATTTTAATATACTGAAATTTATCACTCCCTCTAGATGATCTCTTTAACAAAAAAACCAATACTTCCCATTGACTTTGCTTGTCAGAGGGTTGCAAAAGGTAATCACATGATCCTGGGACACTACAACTCTCATAAATACATACCAGTTGCCAAGTGTCTAAATTTTGATCATGTGACTACGGGGATGCTGCAATGGTAGTGTGAAAAATGGTCATGTCATTTTTTTCAGTGCCATTGTAACTTTGAATGGACACTAAATGAATACCTATAAATCAAGAACTATCTGTATAGTAATCTGTGCGTGTCCTTGAGGCCCACAAAAGATAACAGAATGCATTATTGTAACTAATACTTCTTGACTGCAAAGTAGGAGTTTGATAAATTAAACTCAAATTTAAATACTTTAATATATTTTTCATATCTTATATAAATTAAAATGTTCGCAATCTGGTATTTTATATCAAACTCAATCACCCAATCATATTTTTAAACTAATGAAGCAAGAAGATCACACACACACAAATATTTTTGCTTTAGTTTTAGGCAGACTTAAGTAATGCTTTATCTGACACCCACATCCCAAAAGAGACTTGACGCATCACTTAGATCAGCCCAGATAATCAAGAAATTCAAGTTGCTTAATATTGGTGCACCAAAATTTAATTTTGAATGGAAAAATCTATCATTCTCCTTCATACTTTCAGTTCTGGTAGTAATAAGCCACAACCTGAAAATATTCATCAGCATTTCCCAATATGTCAGTCCTTAAATTATCATAAAATCAAAAGCTACATCTTAGATAAATCCTATACGGTATAAGACAAAAACATTAATAACTTATCAGCACTGGACTTAAGCTAGTTAAAGTTCAAACATTTTCTGAGAGGATTTATGTCAGTTAATATTTGGAGACAGTGATCTCTCAGGATTGTTATAACAATGATCACATCTGTTTCAGGGATAAATTGCAACAAAAGGAAAGATATATGACAAATATTAGTGGGTTTAAAAATTAATGTTTGCTAAAGAGGATCAACTTTATTCACTTTCAGGTTAGTAATGATACATAATATTCCACTGCAGAAACCTAATGGAGTCTGCTTCAAATGAAGCATACAGATTTTAAAAAATCTTTAGTTTTCATTCACCATCATGAGTACATTTCTTGTACCATTCCAAAAACTACTTTGAGAGATCATAAAACACTCCCAAGTTTGAGTTAAAGAAGCATTAACAGGGTATCATCACCCTGTCACCATCTCTGTAACACTTCTTGAGCATATACAGTATTTTTTCCTGGGGCTACACAGTTACCAGGAAAAGGTAGGGTTTCTTTTAAGGTCCACATGTATATCAACCACACTTACACTAGATCAATGGTTCTCAACGTTTGTGTGACGGCGACCCCGTCACACAAACGTTCTGCGCATGCGCGGCGGCGCCCCCTGAGGGGAGAAAATGGCGGATCGCCGCCTTTGGCGACCCCCGAAAAATGGTCGATCGATCCCAAATGGGGTCGCGACCCATAGGTTGAGAACCGCTGCACTAGATCCAAACTATCTTTTCTATTAAGCACATCTTCCTTAATAATCCAACTTTATATCAGCAGAGGTGCCAAAGATTGTATTTTTATAGTCTTCAATATTTTAAATCAAGAAGAGATGGCTATTTTCTCACAAGTTTTAGATTAGATGAACTAATAAATATAGAAATAGTTACTAGGTAACTATAGGTACTGACCGAAGCTTTAAGATGAAGCTGTAAAATACCTGTACAGTTCGCAAAAGGCAACAAACTATATCTTTGCTTCCTTCATTTCAATTAGAGAGCTGCTAGCCACAGCAGAGGAAAGACAACCATGGAATTCAGGATTCAACACTAAGGTGGCCACATTAAAAGTAAAAATACAGAATTGTTATGAATTATATTTGCATTACTCCTCCAATAGCAAAAGCCATTGAACCAGCTAGAAAATAATGCCAATTTTTTTTTGTTGTGGATTTATATTTTGTTTCTTCCTTAACAACCAAAAGCACAGGTTCATTCTAACTGGAAGCATTTATCTCCTCTGTAACCCACAGTTTAATATTCCTATTGCACAAGTCCATTATCTATAACATATAAACCAGAATTCTCAACAATGTTCTAATTCAATCTATATTATAACAAAATGTTATATTAAAGAGCCAACACAATTTTATTCAACTTTGCCAAACAAAACTTAATGACAACTCACAAACACCATCATTTAGTAGGTTTAAATAATCTGATTCCAAGCTTGCATTCCTAAAAGTTCTCCTGAAAAAAGCCTTACTTATAAAAAAGCATATTTATAATTGTAGTTAAGTTTCTCAGAATTGTTATGGATCTCTAAACATTAGAAATATTTTGTTTTACATATTAGAAAAACCTATAGCACCTTAGGCTGACAGTAAAAATTTAGGATTACAACTTTTCTAACAGCTGTAGTCAAAAGATCAGGATATCCATCTGCCTATGTCTTTATGCCTTTCCTTGCTTTGGAAATATTTATCTTCAATCGCCTTTTTAAAAAAAAAAAAAAAAGTTGTAAACTTAGAGAATCATCTTAACAGTAATAAATGATGAGTCATGGCACATCAGGATATAATTTCTCTATAACAACTGTAACAGCAGGATCAGTTACTCCTTCAGTTATCCCCATAAATGATTGCACATATTTCACTATAACATAAAAATATTTTATTGCTCATATTTATTCCATCTGATTTATTGTAGATGATATCTTTGTAAATCAGACTCTCATTTTATATTTTTTTATACATACAGTCCTATTTCTTGGAGTATTCATTGAGATAAGATGGAATCCTATATTCACTTATCTGGGTTATAATCCAAATGAATTCAGTGGACCTTGCTTCAGAGCAAGCATATTTAGATGCAGTTGACATTTTGCAAACCCTGTGTATAATACTGTGTAAAGTCTTCAACCCATAAGCCTTTTCCTATATATTATTTCCTGGAATCAATCTTATGCACATTTATGAATAAAACTTCATACCTGTAATAAACTCCAAACAAGCATTTTATTTTAAAAATGCTTTTTAACTGACTACATATTTATCTGAAACTGCTGCCTCTACTTGAACTGCACTGTAGTATAAAAACTTTTCCATATGTTGCAACTTAATTTCCAGTCAACAACTTCAAAAGGCATATACTGTGTGTGTGTGTGTGTGTGTGTGTGTGTGTGTGTGTAATTAAAAAGGTGAAAATGTGTTGCTCAGTTCAAAAAAACATTATGAAGCCCCTCCTTCAGCAATTTCTTCAAATTAAAAAAAATAGTTTAAACGTTCAGCCTTATAAGCCAGGTCAACACCAAGAATTTACACCACTTTCCTCTTAAAAGCTCTGTTTATGGGCACAGTTAAACCAGTGCCACGTTGCTATGTTACAGCTTTATTAGCCTGACATTTCTACAATAAGAACAATACAATCTGGAATCTACTCAAAGCATTAGCCAGGCAAGGGAAAAAGAAAGCCAGCAGTCAGCTGACTATATTGTACTCCTGCCACGTGCCTGCAGTTTTCTAAAAAAGAGAGGTGGAAGTGGATGACCTCCCACGTATTTTTTTTATTTTTTTATTTAACAAGAGGCAAGATGGGAAATAGGGAGGAAGAAAACGGCTTCAAAACGTTTCTTCCTCCTCCATGCAGTGTAACCTTCACACGTGTCCGGCCATGTTCCAAGCAGCAGCCATCAAGAGAACTTTTACGAAAGGTCATTGCGACGTCTTTCGTGGCCTTCTCCTCTCGCCCAGACTCTTTTCCACACACACACACGAAGAATAGACAGAAGTTGCCACACATCGTCCACGAACACACAAAACTCCTCAGTACAGTCCCCTGAACTACGCTCCCTTAGGCCTACTTCACCTTTATGCTGCAAGCCACGCTTCCACATCCTGTCCCTTCGCCCACACGCGCAGATCCCGGCCCCGCCACAGGCCTTCCTGTGCGGCTCACGAAGCTTGACCTTGGAGGCCCACCCACTGCTCCAGCCTGTCCGATTGGCGCTTTGGTCCCGAAACCCGCTTCGCCCCATTACCCGCCCGCGGCCGCGTGATCCTCCTCCTCCTCCTCCTCCCCCTATGGCGCACCATGGCGTGCAAGTGCGCCGAGCGCGTCCTCTTGTCCTCTCCAACCTCCCTCCTTTCCGCCCGGAGACCCCCCGAGAACGCTCCCCATCGGCGGCCACGCGCGCGAAGGGGCTATTTGCTGTGTCACCCTCATCCCCCCCACCACCAGCCGGGCGCCAAGCGGCCGAGCGCGCGCCGCTTGGCAAATCACGTGGCTCAATCCCTACTCACCTCCATGAAGAGCAGCATCTTCTTCCTCCAGCCTCCCCCCCCGCCAGTCGTTGACCCTCCCGACCCCGACCGAAGCCCGGCGGGCCTCCGAGGTCGTCTTCCTCCACCACTGCCGGCAACGAAAGCCTGACTGCGCGCAAAAAGAGGCGAGCTCCGCCTCCTCCGGCCTCCTTCTCCTTCCTGCCGCCTCTATCACTCCATTCACCACCAGAGCCAAGCCCCAGCAGCCGCCGCCGCCGCCGCCGCCGCCACACGCAATCCTTCCCCCTCCCCTTCCGGGGCAATTTTCACAAATGCTTCCGGACCACGAGCTGCTCACTGACAAGCCTCGGAGAAATGATCCTCTGGTGACAAGCGACTGCGTTAGCAGTCGCGCGAGCGTGGTAGCGGCAGAATATACCATTATATGAAAGGGGAAGGGGGTTCCTTTCTTCCACCTGCTCTTCGCAAGTACCATTCTTGGCCCAAAGGGAGCGTCGTATTGCAGGCATGTGAAAAGCACTCACAAGATATGCGAACCGCCTTATTGTACCCAACCAACCCTCAAAACCTATCTCGTACGGTCTCCGCATTATTTTATTTGGGTAAGCTCAGGCCTGAGTGCTTTTAGGGATCAGCAATTTTTTAATCCAGCTAAATTTTCGCAAGCGTGGGGTTTTTTTCTCAGACGACGGTTTTTTGGTAGGACGACTTTGCAAAATGCTTCTTTTTACACTATCTTCCTTCAGTCACTCCAGTATGCTAGAATTAAAGTTTTGTAGCAGCTTGAAGACTAAGAAAGCTATTATTTTAACTGCTATGTATAACTTATTTCCGGAGGGAGGGGAGTGCTGTTAATCACATAATTATTTCAGGAAGGCACCCTTTTTCGTAAACTTCATTGCACTGAAGTTACATAACTTCGTGTCCTGAATTAAGACAAAACTGAAACCTATTCCATATTACTACTAGTATACTACATAGTAGGTACAGAGAGGCAGGGGGACATAAGTGAAAAAAAAATCTATTTCATACAAGCAAGTATCAATTTTTTCATTCATCTTTGTCACCCAACATTTCCATGATCTTTTCATTGTACTTTTCCTGCCCACCATGTTTTCTGTTTTGATATGACAGTACAGAGCCATGCTAATGAACAAGGAACTTGGCATTTCCTCATATTATCTTAGAGGGTACATCTCCCTTTTTATTATTCACCTGTATGTTTGCTAGCAGAAAGGGAGCGACTGCTATACCAATCCAAACTTAACAAAGTAGTAGTTATTTATGAGCAAGTAATCACAGAAATCAACTCCCCAAACCATATTTCCCGTATCTAATCAAGAACCATGTCCAAAATATGTATTAGACCAGGGGCATCAAACTGCATTACACAGAAGTTGTGCCCACCCCAGCTCTAACAAGGGGAAAAAAAATCGCAATATGTTGTGACACGTTGTGTGATGCGGTGAATTTGACACCCCTGTATTAGATCAGGGAAGCACTAGGAGAGTATCTCTGGTGACCATGAAGTTCCACATTAATTCCATCAGGATGGGATTCAATCTGGACATTAAAATATTCAAGGATCACCACTTTGGAATTCTCCAGTGTCATCAATGACATTATTCAGACTAACTCTGAACAATATCTTGGCATTTTTGACTAATCTCTATTGTAATGGCCAGTTCAGACTTGGAAGATGAAGAGGAGCTTCATCAGGTGCATAGTCTCAAAGCTAGTGCAAGGGTAGAAATTTTCATGTGAAGGCAATGGAATTCAGTAGGTGATACTAACCCTGATATTGGAGCAAGTGTTTAGGAGGACAGAGTTAAATGGAATCAACTGTACTAAGCCTATCCTGTCAAGTTTTGGTAATGCATGCCAACTTGACCCCCTGAGCCATAGCTAAGTCATAACTGAAGGCCCTCCAGATTAGGAATTCAGTTGTAACAGCTTTCTTAATAACAGTTATGGCTCAAGGCTAAATGTTATGGCAACTAGATTAGCAACCAATTTAGGCAACTGAACAGCACTGACTGCTAGTGAAGAACTCTTAAGAAATAAAACAGATTCTGTTTACTGCATCTTTCTGTAGCCCTGCAATTCTTGGGGCTTCCAAATGGGATACCATGTCGTTTATGGTAATTCTATCATGCTTTTGAGAAATTCTCATTCCCTTGTGCACAAGCATTTTAGAACATTGAATGTATAACTGTGTTGGTGAGTTTGCCTTTAAGAGAATGAGGGAAGTTAGCCTAGAGAAGGAAATATTAAAAAGGGCAGAAAAATATATTTTTCCTCAAAAGGACTTTTTAAAACCAAACCTGGCCCCAAATCTATCTCTCTGCCCCAAGCAAGAGCTAGCCCCATACAAATGCAGATGTAAAACCATCAGAGAATTGAAGCCAGAGCAATCGAGACAAAGAGAAAATCTGCATACCCCAACCAAACTCTAAGAGTCATTAGCCCCATCACCTGGGAAGCAGGATATGATAATAGGATTAAACCACAGATATCAAGGCCTAGAAAAACACTCAGAAACAGCCTCAAGGTTCATGCCACAGGAACAGGAAACTATTCCAAACAAGGCTAGAGAGGGTATAAAAACCTACTGCCCATGTGCTCAACTCCTCTTTCCTCTCCTCTGCTCTTTCCTGCAAGGACCATCTTTCTGCTGCTTCAATAAACTGTAACCTTCTTCCCAAAGCAGTCTCCATGTTGCTTATTTATTCCCAGCTTGGATGAACCAGGATGAAGACTTACTACTGACAAGAATAAGTGAATTTTCTATTATGGTCAAGGGTGAGCTTCTCTGTCCTATCCACTTCCAGTTCTCAACATCTTCCCCTCCCCTTCCTGCAGCAGCCTTGCCTAGAAATTTCTGCATCATAAATACACTTTCCTGTGTGCTCTATTATATATTGTGACTGTAAGGTGCACAAAAGATGAATACTATAATTTGTAAACTTACTGTTACTTTTTTTATATAAAGTTGGACATGTATAATGTCAAAATATAGCAAAAAAAATCAATACAAAGCAGGGTGTCATGGTTCCGACAGATGAAACTCTTTAAAAGAACTTGGAGGCATTGTTTACCTTAAAGAATCTTTTATTTGAGAAACAAAGTATCAGCACTACATAGTTAAAGCCAAAAACTGAATTCCCCCCCCCACAAAGTATCAAAGCACAATTCTCTCCTCCAATTAACATTCATAAATCACATCCCCCAATTAGCTTGAAGCATGGGCTTTCTCCCAGCTCTCAGCCTGCCAAATCTTTATCAGCTCTGGGCACAATAATCTTGATTCCCACGGCTGAGTGATTGTTATGACTAACTGGATTCTCATCCACATCCCCTCTACCAGCATCATCTAACTCTAAAAGTGAAAGAGAAAAGATGGAAATGTTTCCATCTGTATGTACATTTCCATTTGTTGAAAAAGCAAGAACATCCAATGTTAGCAGCGTTGACATCACTAGTAAATTATTTAAATCACTAGTAAAAAGGCTTGATTTAAATCAACTCGATTTAAATCATAATTTTTAAAGAGCAACTGTCATCTCTGTCCTGCAGTGGCTCCTCCTCTGACCCGCTGTTGACTCACTGACAGTCCCATTCATTTTAATGGGACGGCTGGTGATGCAGGAGTGACACAAGGTGAGGAACATGGCGGGCAGCAGGTGAGTGGATGCTTGCTAGCAGGCACTGCCATGATGGATCTGAAATGACAGGTGCTCTTTAAATGTAAGGACTCATTCTTGCTGGTAGTTAGAATCTTTATTATTATTATTTGCAAACAAAATGAAGGTTTCCTATTTAAAATAATAAGCTGTCAGGTTAGTAAAACAGCGATATCAGAACTGATTTTAGGTTAGTAGGTTAATCACAAATAGTTGGAAAACTACTAAATTCTTTAATTAAAACACTTAGAGCCTGGTACAGATGCATTTCTCTTCAAACAATCATACAGTTTGTAATGTACATAGATTTGCAAAACAGTGGGATAAAAGAATATTCTTGAACTTTGTTTTATGATTTATCTCATGGTTACTGTGAAATTATGTGAATGCATCAATGCAGTGCGTGTTATCTCAGCTTGCAGAGCTTGGATTCATTGAATGAGTTTACTAAAAATATAAATATTGCAGAATATGCAGCCTCATGCTACATAACTAAGCTCCATTTCATGCTGAATAAATTATTAATGTATCTTAAATAGAAAACTATATTTAGATAGATTTTTTACTCCAAAAGCATTTTATTAAAATAAATTTGATAAAAATAAAAAAATCTGATTTAAACAAAAAAAATTCAATTCTTTTATTTTTAAAAAAATCATCAATTATTATCCACCTTGATAAAAAGAAATAGATTTTTAAAGACAGATTTTATAGTTCTCAGTGATCCTGGTGTAGGTCAAATCACAATTCAACAAGAGCGAGGTAAGTAGCTATCTTAAAGCTGACAAGGGCTTCTGTTGGCAGGGAATGGAACTTATTTGAAAGGCAAAAACAACCATTTATATAAGAACAATTCAATATTCCAGCTAATAGTTATATATTCTATGCTTCTTATCATTTGCTTAAGGGAATTACAAAACAAACAAAACTATACACTGCATTCAAGAAATTGATGAAATTGGCAACTATAGACATAGCATATCAATCAATCAGAATAGAACTGGAAGGGATCTTGGAGGTCTTCTAGGCCAACCCCCTTTTCAAGCAAGAGACCCTATACCATTTCAGACAAGTAGCGATCCAGTCTTTTCTTAAAAACCTCCAGTGATGAAACACCCACAACTTCTAAAGCAGCGGTTCTCAACCTGTGGGTCGCAACCCCATTTGGGGTCGAACGACCATTTCATGGGAGTTGCCAAACAACGCGATCCGCCATTTTTCCCGCCATTTTTCCCCTTTTCCTTAGCTCTGCTACTCCCTCTTATTCTATTGGCTTTCGAAAGCCAATAGAATAGACTCTCTTGAACAGAGTCTAATTCTATTGGCTTTCAAAAGCCAATAGGAATTGTCCAGGGCTGTCTCTGCCCTGCTGAGCCCGCCAAAAGCCCCAGTCTGCAAACGGTGCTGCAAGGGGAACAGTCTGCAGAGCTTCCCTCCCTGCTGAGCAACTAAAAAGTAAGTAAAAGAGGGTGGGAGGTCGGTGGGCGCAGGGAAGGTTGCTGGCATGCGTGGGGCCCGGCAGGTGCCTTACCTGCCTTGGGCTGGGCCAGCTGGTGGCCCAGCCGGTGGTCGCCCTGTGCCGCCGCTG